CGGTGGATAATAATCTCTTCTTTAAAAAAAAGTTTCCGAAGATTAATCATAATTCGGCCGCTCAATCCGTGACACTTTTTGGGACGCTGCTGTGGGCAATTGGCTGTCACGTTTCTTCCACAAAAAAATACAGTCAATCCACTTAACCGTATATTCTGTGAAGCGCTTTGAGACGTCTCGACGACGTGATAAGGGACTATTATCAAGTACACGGATTAGTACTATTATTACTACCCGAGACAGGCAACGCCATCTGGTGGCGAGCGTGAGAATTGACCGAAAAGGTGCCTAATGATTATTCTCGTAATAATAATAATCCTAAATAATAAGTATCGTTATAGTAATAATAATTTGATACAGCGCCTTATCTTAAGCGCTCCGAGACGCTGCCTGGCGTGAGGGGGGCAATAAAAATGCAAGTTATTGCTGTTGTCATCACGTCTTCGAGACTTCTCAAAGCACTTCAAAGCACTGCGAAGTGGATTGACTGCCCAGCAAACCATCGGTCAGCATCAAGTCCTTGCAACTCCTCGCCAGGCTGATCGCTTTTATTATTAAGTAGGAAGATATCGTCTGGGAGAAGCCGAGCGAACGTGAGAGAGAGTGGCGCCTGAATGGGAGGGACTGCATGACATCAGCTGCCTCTCACAGGGGACGGTTGTTTGCTCAAGATGCGATGAGTAAAAGAGACGCCTTCGGAGTGTGCAGCTGTGCCATTCACCCCTCAGTGCCAGTGTCTGCATAGAACTGTCAGTGTTGTCACAACCAGAGAACACTGCACCCTCAGTTAGCAAGGCTCAGCTGAAATCCCGAAGCTTTGGAACACTCTCCCCCCCAATCCTCTGCCTCGCCCCCCCCCCCCCCCACCCCAACCCCCCACCCACCCCGCTCCTTCCCCTCTTTTAGATCACGACCGAAGACCTTCCTCTTCAGCCGTGCGTACAGTCAACTCCTCCCTTTCCTCCACCCGGCTTGGCGTCAGGCTCCTCCACTGTTAAGCACTCCGAGATGCTGCCCCGCACGAAGGGCGCTATATAAAGGCAAACTTATTGTTGTTGTTGAAGACTTGTGATTTATTCCCAAGTGCGGTCTGTCCATCCCTCTCTCTCTCTCGCACACAGCAATGTCCCATAACCAGCCATGAAACAGCCGTGACCAATTTTATATGGGGGATTTGTCGACAAGGAGAAAGAAACTCCTTCTCTTTTTGAGTAGCACCATCGGATCTTTAATGTCCACCTGAACGGGCATACAGGGGACCTCAGTTTAACATCTCGTCCGAAGGACGGTGCTGTGATAGGAAGTCTGTATGTGAGGGTGGGTGTTGAGGAAGGATGCAATCAAAATGAGCCAAAGGGTCTTTTTCTTCCTGCAATGTTTGTAACACTGCACTGTCTGTCCTCCAGTCCTTTGGCCCAATTCCAATTACCAAATGGGTTTTAGGAAGGTTGTGGGTAGAGCATCCGCTATCCAATCTCCAACCTCCTTCCTTGTCCCCCCACCCACCCCACCCCAACACACACAAACACACACTATCCAGGCTGGCTTTGCCACCTTAAGTCCCATTAACTTATGATTTTAATCAAGCTTTGCAGTGCCAAGTGCAGGGCAGAGCGACCCGCCATTAATAATTTATAGCTTTTCTGACTGGATTTACTGTAACGGTTGACATGAAGCGTCCTGCCTATTGACAGCTTGATATTAAAACCTGATGCACACACAGCCCCCAGACCACCGAGCGTTTAATTACCAGATTGGAGCAGCACTAGAGTTAATTGCTCAAAAGCACGCTGGACATGGGGAAAGCTGCAGGAGAAATGCAGTTTGGCATTACACCCTCTAAAAATAGAGGTCCGTGTCATCTGGGAATCAAACCGCACTGAATATGATTATTGAACAATAAAAAAAAACTTCAAAGAATCCAACTGCAGCTTACTGGAAGGATGACTAACAAGGTGGAATGCTATTGATTTGCACCACGGTTAACATTGCAGGAGTTATAATAATATTGATAGTAATCCTTGAATTTGATGCTGCCTTAGCGCGCAGTCGAGACGCCTCAAAGCGCTTCACGGGATTTTACTGTGAGGTGTTCTACGACGACGAGAGATTACATTTGTATAGCGCTGGGACTTTGGGACGTCCTCCCGACATGAAAGGCGCTGTACAAAATTGGTGTAGCGACTGTGCATTTTGTAGGTGAACGCAGCAAACAATTTGCGCGGAGTGACGTACGACGAGCTGCCGTTACGTCTGTTATCCGGGGGACCGCGGGGCTGGTGTTGGAACTTACAGAGAAAATCCAGGCGAACGTGACCAAAAGGTTTGCTCCCAAAAGAGCTGGCGCGCAGACACGAGGGATCTTTTCGGTGCTGTAAGTTTCTTGGGTTCTGCGGGAAAGGGTCTTCAGGTTTTGTTTTTCTTGCCGGGTTTTTTTTTTGTGTGTGTGTGTGGGTGAGCAGAGGGATGGTCCGTTCTGGTGGATTGACGGTGCGGGCTGATGGTCTTCGCTGCTATTTGCAGTGGAAGGAGCAAGGCTGAGGTGCCAAGACGCCTTTGCTTTGCCTCGAGCTGTGCTTGTACGCGCACAAGAGGGGGTTGCGGCGCTCCCCAGTGGCAAATAACGAGTCCTACATATTTACAGCAGCCCAAAATATTGACGGTGCAGCAGATTCATTCACACAGCAGGTCCCGAGACCTGAAGTTCCTCCTAGTCTTAGCCTCAGAATGTAAGGTCCTGCGGAACCCGTGGAAAATCCTGACTTCATTTTTCACGGGCGGCACTCGAATCAAAAAGCGAGGCCCTCTTTTTTTTTAGAATGTGCTGCGGATCTTGTATAAACGCAGTGCGCAATGCTCTCGCGGCCACGGTGAAGTGCATTCGCAGGCTCCAGAGCGTGAGAGATTGTTAAAATGCGTGAAAAAACATGGCTCTCAGCTGACACGAGAAAATGTGTTGATTCTTATGAAACACCAAATGCTAAAATTAGCTTTTTTTCCAAAGCCGCCATGAAACAAATAGCATCTTGCGCACTGGTACATTTCACGGTATTACTGTATCATACGGTGTAGTGACTGTATTTTTATGTATATATATATATATTTTAGGCAAATGAGATATAGGCACAGCAAGCTCCCAAACAAATGGCCAGGGAATGAATGATTGTTGGCCAGGATACTGGGAAAAATTCTCTTTTCTATATTGCCATGTGTGAGGATCTTGGCTCACTTGGGTAGCACATGTGCCTCTGAGTCAGAAGGTTGTGGGTTTAAGCCCCACTTCGGGACTTGGAACTCGTATAGTCTTCGCTGACACTCCAATGCATGGCTGGTTGTGTGCTGTGTTGTCGGAGGTGTCTTCCTTTGGATGAGACATTGAACCAAGGCCCCATCTATACTTGTTCAGGTGAACATTATAGATACCTGCAGTCACACCACTGTACGGTATATCGTGTGAAGGGCTTTGAGACGTCGAGACAACGTGATAAGGCGCTATATCGAAGGCGAGGATGATTATTATTATGTTATATAAACTTGGGTTGTCGCTGTGGTGTTGTTATTGTTGGGGCAGAGAGCGTGTACCATTCCAGCAATCCATCTCTGGAATTTCCATGTGTCGGTGGAATGCACGGAATTCTCGGTTTCGGTTCGGATACCCTTAAGCACGGTGATGGGTTTCCGCATGTGTCAGCCACGCACCCGGTTGACCCCCGCCTCCCCCCACACCCCCAAAAAAATGAGTGAGGGACCGAGGTTGTGAACGGTGATTGGGGGAAAGGTTGCCACAGCACTAGAATGAGCTATTGTGTGCTGGTTTGTTAGAATCTGCACGAGCTAAGGATTAATATTGTGTGCGCAGCGTGGCTCATAGCAGGCACAGCCATCTAGAATAAAATATACACAGCCGCACACTGCACATTACATCTGTTACATCTGTCAGGGGGGATGGGGAGTAAAGGGGAGGAAAGGGGAGAGTGATCATTACCTTCCACCTGAAGCAGCAGACCTGACCTTGGTTTAATATCTCATCCAAAGGATGGCACAGGGATTATTATTGTTGTTAGTTATTATTATTATTATTTATAAACCCCAACCCCGGATGGGTTTGGCTCATTCATTTCATGGCCTGCATGTGGGGACTGTGCAGAGGGAGAAGTACAACGTGTGTATCGCCCCCGCAAACACACGTCCGCTACCTTCATCAGCGATCGCTCCGCGAGGGGCTCCGGTGGCTCCCGCCACTCAGGCGAGGACGATTGGATCGCTCGTCTTGACGGAGTCTCGTTTACCAAGTCACAGCACCGAAGGAGGCCATTCGGCCCATCGTGCCCGTGGCCGCTCTTTGAAAGAGCCGCCAACTAGTCCCGCTCCCCCGCTGTAGAACCGGGAAGTGAGAAGTCAGGCCATTTTCAGTTTTCAATGTGAGCCCTGACCCGGTACCGCTCCCCCCCCCACCTCCCTCCCTCTCCCTCTCCCACAACCCCCCCCTCAATCAGCAGAGAGAGACCTGACGCAGTGACTCACAGTTGACGGTGCCTTTTATTGTCACAGACAATGGGATCAGTGATCTGTGCCGTGTCACCTCACTCACTCGCTCACTCGCTCACTCACTCAAACTGCCTGTGGGGCGTCAGCAGTAAAAAAATATATAGGAACCAGGAATGGATTGAGGCAGTCGTGGGTCAGTAGATTAATCTGGCCCTGCGCTGCAGCGCAGTGTGAATCAGCTCTAATTAGTTGAGCTGAGCTGAGTTGATTCGTTAATTTGTCGGCAGTTGAGTCGAGTGGAGGCAGCTCAATGGTGATCAGAATCGAAACCCAACCACTGTGCACGACCGGCCCATCGATAGAATCGGGTGAGGAGGTTTCTTGTAACGTGTTGGCTGACCCATCGCTGAAATCCACATAGGAACTACCTCCTCTGCGGAGTGATCTAAACTGCGGTAACAAAATATTAATAATAATAATAATTAATATTTTTTCCCCCCCCCGGTTCCTAGATGGGGCGCCAATTAGCGAGCTCACATGGTCCTCCTCCATGGCCGTGGTGGCCGTCTCCTTCTCCGGCCTCTTCACCTTCATCTTCCTCATGCTCGCCTGCCTGTGCTGCAGGAAAGGAGACATCGGGTTCAAGGTAAGAGGGGCGCAGAAGGGGAATCGGGGATCGTTATTTTGAACGGTAGCCCGGCTCGGCGCGGGTTAACTTCCGCACAGCTGATGTGCGTGGGTTTGCTTGCCGTACGCCGGCCGAGCCCAGCGCCGTCGCGTGCGTGAAGAAGCTTGGAGTGTAAGTCGTGCGGGACCATATCTCCCCTCCTCGCTGCTTTGACTGTCTGCCTTTTGGTTGTAAAAACGCCGTTCGCTGCTTTTGCTGCTTCTCGTTGGCAGTCGCAGGTTAACACCAGTCCGTTCTCGGACGGCTTCCCGGCTGCATTTACCTGTACGCGGGAAGCGGGGGGTGGGGGGGGGGTGCGTGGGGGTTGTGCGGCGGAGAGAGATGGGGACAAGATTGGGGGAAGGGAGGGATAGGATGGGATGGGGTGGGGCTGTCTGTTTGTAATGGGCTGCCCGATTCTTAGCTGCTACTCTGCAAAGCTAAACAGATGACACTGGGGATCAGAGTGATATGTTCTCTCGGAGGGGAGTGGGGGGGGGGGGTATGTGGGCGGTGGGTGGGGTGGCACTCGGGGTTCTGTGAGCTGAATAATCCCTAATTACAGGCTAGAACCACTTTGTGTGAAGTTTCCTGACCGAAGGAGCCTAATAACGCTACAGCGCCTTATCACTTGGTCAAGACGTCTCAAAGCGCTTCACTGGATCTTTACTGCGAACTGTAGTGACTGTGTATTTTGTGGGCGAACGCGGTAGTCAGTTTGGTGCGCGGCAATCACCCAAAAAACAGCCACAAAGTGATTGACTCGTTTTATTTGGGGTAGGGGTGGGGGGGGGCGGGGGAGCGGTGGAGGGGATGATTGGCCCGGACTCTGGTGGAGAGGCAAACTCCCTTCTCCTCTTGAACAGCGTCACAGGATCTTTAACGTCCACCTGAAGGTTTAGCGCCTCATCCGAACGGCGGAGCCTCTGACAATGCAGCGCACATTCTCCGCCCTCTCACCCCCCCGCCCCCCCCAAAGCGCTGGGCTGGAGAGTGAGGCTCGACTGGGGGGGGTCCAACCTTTTCGCCGCTGATGGCCAGACCCTGGGTTTACGAAAGGTCCATCGGTCCCGTTAGCAATATTTTGTCCTGATTGGCCAGTCCCGTTGCTGGGTGGGGCTGGAACCCCTGGTGACCGTTTCCTGATTGGCTGAGGGGCCAACGGGACTCGCCTGTAGCTATAATAATAATAATAATAATCCTTGCATTTGATATAGCGCTTTTCACGTCGGGAGGACGTCCCAAAGCGCTTCACAGAACACACTGTAAAGTGAATTGACTGTATATTTGTGGGCGAACGCGGCAGCCAATTGCGCACAGCAATGTCCCACAAACAGTCGTAGATTGAAAATGACCAATTTATTATTGTTTTGTTTTTTTGGAGGGATTATTATTAGGCTCTGTGTGGAGTAAGAAACTTGCCCAAGGTTTGGCCCTCTGCCTGGAAATGATCTCACGTCTCTCACTCACAAAGCGAGTGCTCTAACCCCTGAGCTACAGGACTCCCCCTGAGCGACAGCACTGATTGCAGTCCCACAAGTGACACCAATACAACACGGTGTCACAGCTCTATAACAGGAGGTTCCTATTTGTGACCGAGACTTCAATCAAGTTGGAAATGGTCGGATGGATTTATGGCCCCCCCCCCCACCCCCCCACCTAGGGCCGGATGCGGCCCGCGGGCCGCCAGTTGGACCATTCCGACCAAGACCACCGTGGGTTCGAAGGAGAAACACCAGCTCATCCCGTTCAGACCTTTGACTCGGACGCCGGAGATATCAAAGGGAACGCAGAGCGGGTTATGAGATGGGCCTTCGTGTCCGAGGAGTTGGCTCGAGGGAGCCGGGCCATCAATCCCGTGCGTCACTTGTGCTTCGCCCAGTGCGAAGAGCATCGGCTTCCCTGTTGATTTCCCTTCGCGCTCGGGCCACCTACTTTTTCCAGGGCTTTCGCTGCGCACCTGGGGAGCCACGGCAGTCCTCATGTCGTGTCTCGCGACTGGCTTCTTGTTTCTTTTGAGGGGACTTGACGCGGCGAGTAAGGAGATCGGAACGATGATGCTCGATGAAAGACCACCAACGACCATCCAGTTCGCCGCCCACCAACCTGGCAACACACGTACGGATGCGTGAACCGAGTCCACGGTTCGAGGAGAGAGAGAGAGAGAGAGAGAGCAGCGAGCAGTGATGTGGAGTGAGGAGCGCTCGGCAGGGGATGTTAGATGTTAGTTCGTGGAGGGAGGTGTGTGTGTGGGGCGGAGGGGGCGGGTGTAGGGGGGCGAGGGGGCGAGGGGGCGAAGGGGTGTGATTAGGGCTGGAAAGAGACAGGATAAGGCTTAACCGTGAGCACAATAACTCCCATCAGACTGCTTTGCTTGGTGGCTGGAGCTTTGCAGTCCCTCTCTGTTCAATTTTTTTTCCTGATATGTTGCTTCCTTTTGATTCCCCTCCTTTCTCACCTTCATTCTATCTATGTTTGCACCTCCCACCCACACCCCTCCCACGTTCCTCTCTATCTCTCTTCATCTCTCTCTCTCTCTCTCTCTCTCTTTGTCGCTCTCACACTGTGTGTCATTGTTGCCAACCCTCTCAACGTCACGGGGGAAGGTGTTGGTGGGGGCGGGGGGTTGCTTTCCATCCGTCCATCGCCCCTCTGGTCTGGGACCCCCTCCCCGTTAACACGAGAGCTGGGATGACGTGTTGCGCCACGACCCTTGTCCGATCAAATCTTTCCCCAAGAAAAAAAGACTCATCGGAAAAATATTTTTTATTCTGTTCACTCCCTTACACATTTTCCCCCCCACCCACTCCCCCCTCCCTGCTCCCCACTCTCCCCCACCCTAGGGTGGCGGGGCTTGACGGCAAGCGAAACGTTTAATTATAAAATTCCGTCCTTTCTCGTCCCTCGATCTTGCCGAGTTGGGGTGAGTTCATCCCGCTCAAGGGTTTTGCGGGAAGCATTCCCAGCTGGAGAGCGAACTTCCCACCCGGAGCAGAGCTGGTCCCGTTTACGGGCCGCGACTTCCGATTGGGATTGGGAACGCCCCCGGGTCCCCTCCCCACCCCTCGCCCTTCCGGCTCACGGGATCTTCTGGGCCGGAACACCGCCTGTTCCGACCACGTCGTTTCACCTGTTCGTCTTCATTCCCCACAGGAGCCGGGTTCTGGAGGCAAAAATATCAGCCACAAGGTAGGAAAGCTCACCACTTGTGTGACGGCAAATAGCGAGGTGCTATCAGCCTGGGGCGGGCGGGGAGGGGGGAGGTTGGGGGGGCGGTGGGCAGAGGAGGGCAGGAGAGGGGGAAGAGAAGAGAGGAGGGACAGGGAGGAGGTCTCCAGTCTGATGTTGATTCGCAGTGTGTAGCGCTCTCACTCTCTTGAGTCAGAAGGTTGTGGGTTCAAATTCCACGTCAGGACTTGGACTGACACAGTCTAAGCCGGTACTTCAATGCGGCGCTGGGGGGGGGGGGGGTTGTTGCATTTTTGGAGATGCTGTCCTTTGGTTTACCCGGCTCCCATCTGTGCCTATTTAGGTGGACGTTAAAGATCCCGCGGCGCTATTTGAAAGGAGAAGGGAGTTTCCCTCTCTCTCTCTCTTTCTCCCTCGCTTTCTCTCTCTCCGGGGACCTGGCCAACGAACCCCGGAATAAAATTGGTGGCTCAATCCCGTGGCCGTTTGTGGGAACATTGCCTCGTCCGCCTGCAAACTGTACAGTCACTCCGCTTGCCTGCAGTAACCAGTTGGGAAGCGCTTCTGAGATGTTTTGACTTGATAGGTGCCATGTCAAATGGGAGGCTCACTGCACAGTAACTCTTCACTTCCTCCGTGAAAGGCTCTCCATCAAAATGCAAGGATTTATTATCGTAAATTGAATGGCAAGGTTTTCCCTGCTCCGATATATAACCACATTGGTTTGGATAAAAAGTGCCTTCAGCTTGTCTGACCTCACCTCTCGCCCATAAACCCCTGTCGCCTCCCATCACATCATAACTTTGTTTGGGTTTCACCCCCCCCCCCCCCTCACCTCCCCCCCCCACTTCCCTCAGCCGGCTCCGGCCCCTCGTCTCCTCCTTTCCATCATCGTTGGTTGTGCTTTCGGTGACTACCGCTCCCCCCAAATCCATGGAACTCTCTCTGCCTCATTCTACCTCTTCGACCGTGCCTCCGGTCACCTCCTCCCTTTCCCCAGCTCAGGGTCAGGCTCCGCCACTGTTAAACACTCCGAGTCGCTACCCTACCCGCATATCAATGCAAGTCGTTGTTATTATTGTTGTTAAATGAGTCCTGGAATCCTTGCCTCAACCACCTTTCCTGGCAATTTCTCCCACAAAATGCACAGTCACTCCACTTTATAATATATCCCGTGAAGCGCTTTGAGATGTCTCGACGACGCGATAAGGCGCGATATCAAATGCAAGGATTATTATTAGATTATTATTAAACCCGGGTCCTTTCATTCTAATCTCTCGCTCTCTCTCTCTCTCTCTCTCTCCCTCTTGCTCGCACCGCGAATCCTGGAGTCAAAGTGTTAACCAAAGGCTTTGCTTTATAGAGAGCTCGTGGAAAGAATTGCAAAGAACCTCATGCTATTTCTTCTTTTTTTGCACACAAGAGTTCAGAGTTCCTATCGCAGGCAGGGAGGGGCCGAGGGAAGGAGGGAGGGAGGGAGGGAGTGGAAAAAAAATGTCAAGGAATAGTTGGGATTTTTGTGGAGGCTTTTTTCAAAAAAAATAAAATTGTTGGCATTTGAACAATCTAAAATAAAAAAAAAGTGTTTTACAGTTCGCTGGCATGAAGCTAACGCAACCCTGATGTGTGCCCTGTGTTACAGTCAACGCACAAAAAAAAAAACCCAATCCCTCTGACTGGATGCGCGGAACACCAGAAACTGTCCCAGAAACTTCTGCACAAAAGCGAGCGGAACAAAGGGATTGTTTGACAGTACATCCGCTGTATTATTCCCAGATCGTGTTTGGTTTGATTGTGGGGTGGGGGAAGGGGGAGAGAGAGAGAGAGAGAGAGAGAGAGAGAGGGCTGGGGGGTGGGGGTGGGGGGGGGGGGGAGCGCTGGGGAGAAAGGTAAATAAATGAGAGTCAACCCCTCTGTTCGGTTTCCAACTTTTTTTTAATCGTAAGTTTCAGGAATAAAGAGAGTTTGAAAGGATGGGGTGAGGCGAGAGGTGACACAGAGATTCCATAACCCTTTCCCTCCCTCCCTCCCTCCCTCCCTCCCTCCTTCCCTCCCTCCCTCCCACTCCAAGGCTACACTTTACCCAAATCGCAACACATGAACGCCTTTCTTGCGGAGTGAGTCGGGGGGTAAGGGAGTGGTATAAGAGCGGAGGGGGAAGGCTAATCTGTCAGGAGCGACGTCAGCCGCTGATGCGAGAATAAGCAAGGAGACGATGGGGTTTGCAAGCTTTCAGTGAAACCCTGGTTATTAAGAGAGAGAGAGACCCAGAGACGGAGAGGAAGCATGCCACTGCCTCACCGAGCTGCGCTCGATCGAGTACTGAGTGGCTGTGCTTTTGAACATTGCATTCGCTTGATGTGGGCGAGGGTAAGGTAAGGGGTAAGGGGGTGGGTCAGGGGAATCCTGTAGCGAAGAGGTTAGAGCGTTCATCTCCCAAGAGAAGCCACCCAGGTTTGATTCCCGGGCGGGGAGGTGGGGGGGGGGGTGAGACCTTAGGCAAGTTTCCTTACTCCACACGTCTCCGTTTACCTTGCAGTAAGTCGGAGCCCGGTTGTGAGTCGATTGGCAGATGGCTTCTCCGGGGGTAATAATCCCTTCGATAAAGAAATTGGGTCGCTCCAATCCACGACTGTATTGTGGGACGCTGCTGTGCGCAATTGGCTGCTGCGTTTCGCCCACAAAACGCACAGTCAATCCACTTTACAGCATATTCTGTGAGATGGAGTTCCAAAGGGTGGGAGCGCTCTAACTGACAAGGAACTCTGTAGCAGTTTGATTTGGAGACTGTGAATCACGGTGATGAGTTTCCGCGTGTGTCGGGCACCCGGCTGAGCAAAAAAAAACAAACCAAAAGAAGACAGAGCGCCTCTTTTGCTTCCAGAGTTCCGTGTCTTATAATTATAAACCGTAATAAAACCTTCTTTACCCAGAGTTAAAGTTTTCTCTCTCTCTCTCTCCTTCCTTCCTCCTTCCTCCCTCCTCACCAGCCTTCCGTTCGCTGAAAGTAAAATTATTCTTGTCCCTCTCTTTTGACAGGAGTTTGAGAACAATGACGGGGAAGATTACACGGCCGACTTCTCCCCCAGGGGCACGCCCGGCTCACAGAACGGCCCCGAGGTCTACATCCTGCCCCTCACTGAGGTCTCATTGCCCGTTTCCAACCAGCCATTGGCCAGATCAGGTACCACAGCACTGAGTCCTCATCCTATGCTTCCCCCCGGCATCAAGTGAAGGGCGCTATGTAAATACGCGTTATTGTTGTTGTTGTCCTTTTGTCAGCGCGTGTATCTGTGTGTCTGTGTGTGTGTGTTTGTCAATGTGATGAGTATTAGTGTGTGTCAGTGAGTGTCTTGACCGTGTGTGTGTGTGTGTGTGTGTGTGTGCAGAAGGAGCTGCGGGGGGGTGGGTGTGTGGGGGCGGAGGTGGTGTTGGAGGAGGAGAATTCCAGGAGGATCGGGAAGATATTTAAAATTCCGCTCACTGGGATGGATGGTATCGAGCTGGGAGGAGGTCTGATGTCAGTGGAATGCAGGCTTGTGTTATGATGTGTGAGACTGCATGTGGCTGTACAACTGCCCCCCTCCCTCCCTCCCTCCCTGACTGACTGACTGAATGTACTTTCTCTCAGTGGACTGACTCAGTTTTGTGCTCGGAGTTTCTCGCCCTCAGGAATATCTCGCAGTGGGTGGGAGAATGTCATTTAGACCACGAGATGGGAGGGGGAGGGGGGAGAGGAGTTGAGTTGAGTTGAATGGGGAGGGGCAGTAGGGTAGTGGGGAGGGGTTGGGGGAGCGATGAGGGAGAGGTAGGGGGAAAGTCACTTTTTTTCCAGTAAACAACTTGTTTACCTTGGCTGTGGGAAGCCGGAGTGAGCGAGAGAAAGACACAGAGAGAGAGAGAGAGAAAGAAAGAGAAACCTTTCTGAAATAAACACTATCTGATTCCCACAGTGTCTGCCCGATCCCAAACCATCCCCCTTCCTCCCCTTGTCCTCTGCCCCCCCCCCACCCCACACAACCGCTTAACCCCTCGTCAAATCTGCCCGCTTAGAATTTATCCGTCAACGCTTCTCTCTCTTTTCGAGGGGAAACAAGCGGAATTCGCTAATTCCGCGCCTAATACTTTGCGGGATTAGGTAAGCGGGACCCGTCCCTCCAGGGAGAGAGGGAGAGAGAGCGCCTTCCGTTCCAACAATCTATCTCTGGGATTTCCACGTGCAGGTGGGATGCGTGGAGGGTGGAACGGGAGGGTTGGGGAGGGGGTGATGGGGGGGCGGTCGTTTCGACTCTCAGAGTGTGAGGAAGAGGACGAGGAGGCAGATGCACACGGACATCTTCACATCCACCTCACTTGTGTGTCCACAGGGCAGTTTCTTCAGCAGACGGACATTGGGCGTCAGTGCCTGCTGTATCTGAAGGAGATGGGCCTCGGCTGGTTCGGCAAGGTCAGTCAGTCCCGCATTTGTTAGCTCTCGCCTCCTGGGATAACGCGGGCGATGGACGAGCGAGTGGGGGGGAGGCTCCTCCCTCTGGGGGACCGACCAAGGCTGGCGCTCCAACACACTGCTGGGGGAAGGGAGGGCGGGAGGGGGGTGCGGGCGGTTAATGCGTTGTTGGAGAGAGCAGAGAGGCCCATTGGGGCATCCGGCACCAACGCAGACACGATGGAGGAAAGGAAATGGGAATAAAGTAGAGAGAGCTCCCATGTGGGGAAACGAGTGCCAACATGGACAGGTTGGTGGAGGAGGGGGCGGGTGGGGGGGGGGGTGTGCATGGCGGGGGTATGGGGTTAGAGTAGAGAGCTCTAGTGTGGGGAGCGAGCACCAGCACGTACACGACGAGGCACGCGCGTGTCCTCTCTCTGCACTGTAAAATTCCTGTAAACGCCCCCGAGCAAAGGGTTAATGGCCGCGGGGTGTGGTTGGCCGGTCAGCTCTGTGGTTCCCTTTGTTTACTTGGGATTCTTTCTCCGCGGGTGGGAACAATGACTTGTGTTGTGCGTAGTACATGGGCGGATGATTCACCCATTGCACACGACGGGGAACAGGGCAGAACTCATGAGACAAGTGTCCCGATATAAATCACCATTCGACGTTCAAAATCCGGGGCAAAAATTTTCTTTTTTTTTTACGCACACGCGCGCTCAAAAAAAAAAAGTGCGTTACTTTTTCGACCTGTGCCGTCCGTTCCTTTAGTCCAGCGCAGTGGGGCAAATGTGATCGAGGTGAGTTTAGAAAGCCCTCTGGGACGCTACCCTGCTACGTAAATGCAAGTTGTTCTTGTTGTTGTTATTTACCGAACGTTGGGGGGGTTTTTTTTTGTGTGTGTGTGCGTGAAATAGACTCTTTAAACGGGCAGAAGTTCCACCCGGTCTAGATCCTGTAGCTCAGTGGTTAAGTGGTTCGATTCCCGGGCAGGACGAGACGTTAGGCAAGTTTCCTTACTCCGCACGCCTCTGTTTACCCGGCAGTGACCAGCTCGGAGCCCGGTTGTCGGTTGATTGGCGGATGGATAGGCTTTCCCAGCGGTAATAATCCCTTCGAAACATTTTTCGAAAATTGACAATTCGGTCACTCGATCCACGGCTGTTTGCGGGGACGCCGCTGGGCGCAGTGGGCTGGCGCGTTTCGCCCACAAGGCGCACGGTCGATTCACCTTACAGTGTATTCTGTGAAGCGCTTTGAGACGTCTCGAAGACGTGATAAGGCGCTAATTCACCTCCGAGGATTGTTATACGTTTACTCTCCATTATGTAGCACTTCAGAGTGTTCAGAATTTGGCGAGTTCTCAAAGCGATGTCACTTCGGAAGGTTAGTGGGTTCAAGGTTAGTGGGTTCAAGGTTAGTGGGTTCAAGGTTAGTGGGTTCAAGCCCCATGTCGAGACTTTGAACTCATATGATTATTCTGGGCTGACGCGGTCTTGCTCCCCCTTTGCCCGTCTTCAAATCACACCTGAAGACTTTCCTGTTCCACCGTGTCTTCGATCACTTCTCTTCTCCCAACCCCCCCCCCCCCCCCACCCCCACCTTTCGGTTGGGCATTAAACCACACCTTCTGTTAATCGCTCCGTGACACTGTCCTCGTGACACTGTAAATGCAAATTGTTGTTGTGTGTTAAAGTTCCCCTTACTGGCTGACAATACCCCCCCACCCCTTCACCTCCTTCCCCCCCACCCCCCCCCCCAATAGAGTTGGTTAATTTGAGTTCGAGAAAACAAGCCACATGGCTGTTTGTGAGACATCGACAGGCTCCCGTGTTCGCTTGCCCAGTTACACAGTCACTACACTTTACGGTAAATCCCGTGAAGCGCTTTGAGGCGTCCTCATGACGCGAATGGCACCGGACCAGAACAGAGCAAGGCGGCTTTTCACATTTGCTTCCAGGAATAGCCGCTGTGCTGGACAAGTAATTGTCTGTGAGATGCTCGGAGCTGCCTCAATGTGTTTAGGCGTTTGCATCAAATACAAATTCTTTCGTTCTGACTCCCTCGCTCGCTCGCTCGCTCGCTCTGCCTTTCCTGGAGTTGCTTTTCTAAGGGGAGAAGATGTGGGGGCGCTGGTTTTTACAGGCTGGAACCCCCTGGAAACTGCCCGCTGTGCCCTCTGTCTCACCAGCTGAAAACCAGGCAAGGTTGTGGGGCCATAAACCTAAGACGACAAGTTTGTTCAGTGATGCAGCGGCGCAGCTGGAGTTTGAGAACGGTGTGTCCTACAAGGCTTCGCGTGTGAAGTCCATTAGAACATAAGAAATTATTAAGAGAAACAGGAACAAGGTCCATCCAGTTCGCCCTCCACCATCTTGGCAGTCGCTCGACATGTCGTGTCCCAAACTATGCGTTAAAACAAAGGCCTTTGGCAACTCGTCCTCCACTGTCAAGCGCTCGGAGACGCTGCCCCGCGCGAGGGAGGTTGTGTAATTGCAAGTTGTTGTTGTCGTTGGGGCTGTCACACTCTTTCTCCATCCAAGCACCAGAGAGTGACAGAGAGCAGGTTCCCCGCACTTGCGCTGTGTTTGCAATGATTCTGATCAGTACTTACTGTTCCTACTTAATCTTTGTGGGGAACAGCAGAGCCCGTGTGCAGGTAGTGAGAGACGTTGGGAGGTTTTAGCACAGTCTGGGGGGTAATTCCTTGTGAAATTTCACTTGAGTGACGTGTGACATTTCAGAAACAAACCTTGGCTTCGTGGTGATCTTCCGCTGACACTTTACTGAATCTTTTTCCTTTCTTTCTTTCTTTCTTTCTTTCTTTCTTTCTTTCTTTCTTTCTTTCTTTCTTTCTTTCTTTCTTTCTTTCTTTCTTTCTTTCTTTCTTTCTTTCTTTCTTTCTTTCTTTCTTTCTTTCTTTCTTTTCTTTCTTTCTCTTTCTTTTTCTCTCCCTCTCTGTGTCGCTCGTCTTTCTCCATCTCTCTACCTCTCTCTCTGTCTCTCTTTCTATCTCTTTCTCCCCATCCTGGTTGCCGCAGGTGTTCTTAGGGGAGGTGAATGCGGGTCTGAATTCCTGCCAAGTGGTGGTGAAAGAGTTAAAAGCGGGCGCCTCTCTTCAGGACCAAATGCGTTTTCTGGAGGAAGCTCAACCACACAGGTGGGTCTCGCGGGAGTTTAACCCTTTGCGTACAGGCGGACATTAGAGATCTCACGGGTGGCACTCGAAAAGAGAAAAGGGGTTTCTCCGGGCGTTCCTGACCCCCCAAACCCCCACCCAAATAAAAATCGGTCAATCCCTTCATGGGGCTGTTGTTTGCAGGGGCATTGCTGTCCACACATGGCTGCCTCGTTCGCCTACTTTAGAATTCATAATATTACTGTACATTTCACCCGTGAAATTCACTTTGCAGTATATTCTGTGAAGCGCTTTGAGAACGTCTCGACGACGTGATGAGGCGCACTGTCAGACGCAAGGATTGTTATCGTTGTTGTTATTATTATTACTAAACTTTTACGTTAATCCCATCTACGCCTGAAAGCGTCTCGTCTGTCTCGTCGCTTGTACCCGCGGGATCCCACCGTAGGCAAGTCAAGGTGACCGTCCCGCTGGTCAGAAGGGCTCCATTGCCCTGTTCACTGTGCTCTGTGCTCTTCGCAGGAACTCCCAGCATCCCAACCTCCTGCAGTGCCTGGCGCAGTTTACTGAGGTGTCGCCTTATCTGCTGGTCATGGAGTTCTGCCACCTGGTAGGTGAAGTGTTGGCGGGTGCGACTTACAGGCTTGAGGAGTCCTGTCGCGTAGTGGTCAGCGCGCTCTCCTCCCAAGCGAGAGGGTCTGGGTTCAATTCCCGGGCGGTGCGAAACCTAACCTCAGGCGAGTTTCCTTGCTGCGCACGCCTCCGATTACCTGGCAGCAAACCGCTTGGCAGAGTTTCATGGTGCCTCGGGATTTGAAAGAACAGGCGTTGTCACCGACTGCTGCGGAGGGGCAGATTAAATCCGTTCCGAGCCGCCGACGGCAGCCTCATTAGGCGGTTATCATCGAACCATTAGTTAAGCGGAAGTGCGGCTTTGAACTCCTCGCCATTTTAAGGTGCGAGGCAATAAATAATTTTTCTTTTTGCCGACCGAACACAAGCGACTTTAACTGAAGCGGATAGACTCGTTTGTGGCTGAGCGCTCCAGCGTGCAGCGCACCATGTAAACGCCAGGTGCCGTTGTTGTCGGCGGGAGTGGGTGCGGGGTGGTGGGGCGGGGGGGAGCTGGGTGGTGGGTGGGGTGGGGTGGGGCGCGGAGAGCGGGCGGAGAGAGCTGGATTGACACCAGTTCCCCCCCCCACCCCCACCCCCCCCTCCACCCCGTGTCGGTGACAAGAAGTGGGTGTCTAGACAGGGTGTCTACTGCCCTCCGGTGGCTCTATCCTGTCGCTGCACCCCCCACCGCTCAATTTCTATCAAGAAATCCGCACGACTTGGACCCCCCGAATGCCGAGTCCACAGAGTCCACTGCGGCTCTCAAAAGAGGACTGGCCAAACATTTGGGGGGAAAAAAAAAGAAGACGAGAAGATTACGCGTCCGGGGTTGGGGAGGGGGAGAGCGAGGACCGAACGGGCAGCTGGTGGTAATATTAACCCCCACCACCCCCCCCCACCCACCACCACCAAAATAATAATAATTTAGTCACTCGATCCACGACTGCTTGTGGGACACTGCTGTGCGCAATCGGCTGCCGTGTTTCGCCCCCACCCACCCCCCCTCCACCCCAACTCCCACCCCACCCCCACACACCCAAAATACACAGTCACTCCGCTTTACAGTGTATTCCGTCAAGCGCTTTGAGACGTCTCGAAGGCGCGATAGGGCGCTGTGTGGCAAATGCAAGGATTGTCGTTGTTATTGTGATCAAGAAACGAGACTGATTTTCAGGGCAGTTAGGCTGTGACTGTGGATGAAGTCCTTGCCCATCGCTGCTCTGCTCTGTTTCTGAAGGGCGACGTGAAGGGTTACCTGAGGACCCGCAGTGCTGCGGATGAGATGGCTCCTGATCCCTCGACCCTCCAGCGAATGGCTTGCGAGATCACCTCGGGTCTGCAACACCTTCACAAACACAACTACATCCACAGGTACAGGACGCTGGGCGCTGCCGGGGGACATTCTCACGGCCGGCGGCGGAGTGCTCTAGACTGACGTAGTTGGGAATTTAATGACCTTCTTTCTCTCACTCTGCCTCGTTATGGTGCTTCTGTTCTCTTCTATTCCTCCCTCCCTCGCTCCGCCCATCCTTTCGCCCCTCCTCCCCCCCTCCCTTACAACACACACTTCCCATCGGTTTGACGTCTGTCTGATGTTGTTGAGGCAGTGACTGCAGGCGAAAATATGCCCTATCTGTTTCTCCACTGCTTCCTTCCTGCTTCGTGGCCGTCGAGCGCTCTGGAGGGACGCTTAGGGAATGAGGGGCGCTGTGCAACTAAATGCAAGCTGTCGCTGTTGTTGTCGTTGTCCTCCCCACCTCTGCTGCCGAAGACACCAGAGCCCCAGCCGTCAGCTCCTGTTCGTTCCTTGCAACAACATCCTGATGCTGCCAGAGCGGGTCTGGTGGCTCCAGCATCAGTGATTTTGTTGCAGGGAGCGATCGCTCACTTCGTGTCCTGCAACAGCGTTTCCCACGGTCAGTGGCAGCAGCTAATCACCGGCAGCGTCAGCCGCTCCGAGAGTCTGTCCCTCAGTTTGCGTTTGCGTAATCGTTTTCGGTGCGAGGTCTCTGGTCTGCTTCGCCAGCTTTTTAACCTGGTGTTTGTTCCTCTGTCGTTAGGGCCAGCGACAAGTTAAGCGGCGACAGAAATATGGTTTGGATTTTTTTTTGGGGGGGGATGGGGGCCCGGGGGGACTGCCGGTGGGTGGGTGTCCGGCACATGCTGGAAACCCATCACCGTTGCTTATTCCATGCATCCCACCTACACGTGGCAATCCCGCAGATAGACTGTTGGAATGGAATGCGCACTCTCTCTCTCCCTCACTCTCTCTTTCCCTGGAGGGACGCACCTTCGCTTACCTAATTCTGGAAAGCATAAGGCGCAGGTTGGCAACAGCCAAGGCCTGGGGTAAACAGAGGCCCGTGGAGTAAGGAAGCTCGCCCAATATTTCGCCCTGCCGGGAATCGAACCCGGGTCCTCTCGCTTGCGAGGTGAGTGCTCTAACCACTGAGCTACAGGACGCCCATCACCTTTTCAAGACGGAGGTAGATAGATATTTGTTAGGTCAGGGTGTTAAGGGGCTTGCACTTTATGGGGCAAGGACGGGTGACTGAACTCGAGGTACAGATCAGCTATGATCTTATAAAATGACGGAACAGGCTGGAGGGGCTGAAAGGCCTCAAGAAATGGATGGGTGAAGAATGGAGTATGTGGAGTACAAGCACCAGGATGGACAAGCGAGGACGAATGGCCTGTTTCCGTGCTGGAAATCGACGGCTAAAGTTTGAGCTAGTTACTTTACTTTACTATTTCTTCACCCAGAGGGTAACTAACGACTGGCACAGCGTCGCCAAGGACGGGTGGTTGAGGCCAGGACGCTGTGACTCTCTTGTCACTGTGATGGGAGGCAGTTGCGTGGGGCAGATGCTCTGGGGGGTGGTGGTGGGGGGGGGAATGGGATGCGATCAAATGCGCTTCATCTGAACTGATCTTGTGATTTGTCTTTTCGTTCAGTGACTTGGCCCTGAGGAACTGCCTACTCACCGCAGACCTGACCATTAAAATTGGAGATTACGGACTGTCCCACAGTAAATACAAGGTAACGGTCGGAGAGCGAGCGGAGAAGGGAACGTCACATAATTCGCCTCTGCCCCTCTGGAACTCTCTTCAGACATGCCTCCGTCAACCCCCCTTTCCCCGCCACCGCCCCACTCCTTTTCGGCCGATCCGTCGTGCGTCAGCCTGCCTCGTTCGGCTGCACTCTCACCGCCGAGTCAGAAGGTGGGTTCAAGCCCCGAGTCAAGGACTTTGAACTCCACACAGTCTGGGATGACCCATCAGTGCAGTGCTGGGGGGGAGGGGTGGGGGGGGTGTGTGGGGGGCGCGGGAGGATTGGAGGTGCCGTGCTTTTGAGACGACCTCCTGGCAAAGAAAGCCGTGTAATATTATTAATAATACCTATCTAAAAACCTACCGGTCACCCTTTCCCTCCCTCCCCCCTTCCCCCACCCTCCCCGCCCCGTTGCCAGGATATGTTTTGCCTTTACCTGTGGTTCATGATGTAAGAGAATCCCTTACTTTGGAAGGCTAATTGTTGACGGGGGTGAAGTGGTGCGGAGTGAGTGGTTCTGTCGCAATCACAGCTGTGAAGCGAAAGAAGGAAAAAAGGACCGTTTCCCCTGGGTGTCAGTGGGTGGACAGAAGTCAGAAATCCCCAAATACTCCGTGTGCATGAGATCTCAGCGCTGACTTACAATCATTCACAGTTTCACTTCTGTTCCTGTTAGCCGTAAAGACAGTTGGGGAGAAATTGCATGACAAAGTGTGCTATAGCAGAGCCTATTGAGACGTAGTGTTTAGCGAGGGCGAGCGAGAGGAACCAGGTGAGATTTCCGGCCGGTGAGAAACTTTAGGTGAGTTTCCTTACGCCACACGCCTCTGTTTACCGAGCAGTGAGTAGGAACCCGGTTGTTAGTTGCTCGACGGATCTCTTTCCAGGGGTAATAATCCCTCCCCCCAAAAAAATTGGGTCACTCAATCCACAACTGTTTGTGGGCCAATGCTGTGCGCAATTGGCTGCCGAGTTTCTCCCACTAAATACGCAGTCAATCCACTTGACAGTATATTTCTGTGAAAAGCTTTGGGACGTCCCAACGACGTGATAAGGCGCTACATAGAATGAGAGGGTTGTTGTTGTGACAGAGGGCTGTATCGTCTCTTAAACTATCGAACGCAGGTTTAAGCGGTGACAAAAGTCGGCTGACTCTCGACTCACCGTTCTCTCGGAAGGAATCCGACTGTCTGTCTTTCTGACGGCAGAAACGTTACTGTGGCTCCTTTTTTTTTTGTCACAAGTGTGTGAACGAGCATGTCCTTGTTGTTAATGTCTCCGGCAGAAAGATTACCTGTTGACCCCTGACCAACTGTGGGTGCCTCTGCGCTGGATTGCCCCCGAGCTGATCGACGATGTCCACGGGAACCTGTTGGTGGTGGATCAGACCAAAGTCAGTAACATCTGGTGAGCACCATGGTTCTCTGGGACCGGCTCAACGTCTCAGTGTAGAGGCAGAGAGAGACAGCTGGAGATTAGAGCGAGAAAGAGTGAAGAGAGACAGAGAGTGTGAAAGGTCGGAAATGTTTCAGTGCTTTACGACGACATTGCAAAAAAGCTCCAACCACCCTCCCCCCACCCTTTCCTCTTCCTCCCCCAACCCCCCCACCACCCAACTGGCAATCGGTCGTGTTAACACAAGCAGTGATAGCACAAGCACAAGCGACACGGTTACCGAGAGTCTTAGGGTTGTGGGCGCCACCCGGCTTTACATACAGTATTTATCAGTTTCTATCTATTTATGCATATATATATTTTTATTTATCACTTTGTCACTGTGGCGAAAGTCAGCAATTGCCCAGGATGGATCGTTGCGGTCGGAATCATTAACCTTGCATTTCTCTTTCTCTCTCTCTCTCGGCAGGTCCCTGGGTGTGACGTTGTGGGAGCTGTTTGAGTTCGGAAACCAGCCCTACCACCGCTACACAGACAAGGAGGTGCTCGCCTACACCATCAAAGAGCAGCAGCTGAAATTGCCCCGACCCCTCCTCAAACTGGCTCTGTCCGATCGATGGTAAACTCACCGTCCTCAGCGCCGGGCAAAAACCTCTCACGACGGGCAAACCTCCGCCTGACGCAGCACAACTACACAGTCACTGCACCGCACACACCTCGGGCCAGACGTTAAACCGAGGTCCCGCCCATTCAGGTGGATGTGAAAGATCTCCTGTTCCAAAAGAAGGGAGTTTAGGGGGTGATAAACCCCGATGACGCACGATATCGAATGCAAACATCGTTGTTATTATTATTATTATTATTATTGTGCGGAGTGACGTCATTCGGAAACGATCTGCCGTGAAAGAAAGGAAAGAGAGCGCTGTGTGTGTGGGGTGTGTCTGAGACCCTGCCCTGTGTGATGGGGCGCTATATAAATGCACGTTGTTGTTGTTGTTGTGGTCCCACAGGTACGAGGTGATGCAGTTCTGTTGGCTGCAGCCAGAGCAGAGACCCACGGCCGATGAAGTCCACCTGCTGCTCAGCTACCTCTGCGCTAAGGCCTCCAGCGAGGCCGAGGAGGAGTTTGAGAAGCGTTGGAACGCCATGAAGCCCAGCGCAGCCACCGGCAGCGGGGGAGGGGGAGGGGTCACGGGCGGCCCCCCGGCCCCCCTCTCCTCCTTCCCGCTCCTGGAGCAGTTCGGCTCGGACGGCTTCCAGCACGCGGAGACGGACGACGTGCTGACGGTGACGGAGACCAGCCAAGGGCTGAACTTCGAGTACAAGTGGGAGCACCAGCCGCAAGTGGAGCACATCCTGCCGTCCCCAGGGGGCGCCGCTGCGCAGTTCCAGGAGATCTACTTCCCCAACAGCACATCGGGCCGGCTGAGTCTCAGCGTGTCGCCCATCTCCTCCAACTCCTTCTACGAGGCCACGCAGCAGCAAGGGGTCCCACAGCGCCTGCAGCCCCCCGGGGTGGTGCCTGTGATCAGCGCCCACAGCCCCTCAGTGAGCGGCGAGTATTACATCCGCATCGAGGAGCCCACCGAGTGCAACATCGACCTGGACTACACCATGTGCTCCTACAGCCCCGAGTTTGACCGGAGCTTCCCCACGGAAACGCCGTCGCCTTGGGAAGAGCTCGGAGGAGGAGGAGGAGGAGGAGGGAGGAAGCCCGTGGACGACTTCGATAACAGCCCCGCCATCTCCCTGACCATGGAGCCCCTTCTGGGGCAGGTGTCTTCCAGTCAGAGGGATTCCTGGGAGGACGGGCAGTACGGGAGCAAGAGCAAAGTCCGCAGGTTCTACGAGAATCTGGCCGCAGACGACGAGGCCAACCAGTACCTGTTGGACGACTTCGCTGACGGCGGCGGAGAATGGCGAGCCCTGGGGGAGAGCCCCCGGAGGGACCCCGGCGAGCTGGCCCCGGCAGTCTCGCCTCCGCCTCCCCACACCTTCAAAGGCTCCAGCTCGTCCATCAGCTCCTACGAGGGGTTCGAGGAGACGGGTTCGAACGAGCATCTGGTCAACGGGCGCCAAGAGGAGCCGAGCCCCGGACCCCGGCCGCCGCTCGACTCGGAGACTGAGGGAGCCCACCCACTCGCGGACCCCTTGGACGGGCACCCGAACCGACCCTCGGCCTCGCCTCCGACTCGCGGGCTGCCGACCGAGAACGAGAGCGCCTTCTTCTGCGAGCTGAAGTCGTGGGAATCCAACGGCTTCCTGCACGGATGCCCGGCCGACGCGCCCGGCTCACCCCGGGGGGGAGGGAGGGCCGGAACACCGGGATTCTCTCCCGATTGGGAGGCCGGCGAGGAGCTCGGCGCGGATGACCTGGAGCAGGAGCTGTCCGGCCTCGGGAGGTTCGCTTCCCTCTCGTTTCCCAACGCGAGCGAAACGCACGTGTGCGCTCCCGGCTCCGGGGAGACGGAGAACCAGGGGTGCGTTTGGAATTCGCCATCGGCGCTGACGGTTGTCGGCCTCGAGCTGAACAGTCGAGGATTCGGTCGCTCTTTGTTCGTCGCGGACAGGAGCGACGGGAACCCGCCCAACGACTCACAGCGCGACCCGGGCGAAGGGGGTCTCGATCGAGCCCCCGATCGCCGATTCCAAGTCTCAAAATGCCCGGAGTCGCTGGACCCTCTCCTCGGCTACGCGGTGACGGACTGGGCTCTGCCGAGCGACTGCGGCAAAGTCCGGCCAGTAAGTGACCGGCACGAGGAGCCAATCTCGCTCCCGACCCTGAGCGGCGGCGGCTGTGGCCAGCCCGACCAAGCCGTAAAGACCGAACGGGACGCCTCTCCACGCGCAAGCCGGCCGGAAGGTGACACGGAAACGGGAGACGAGGGAGGCCCGAGTGGTCAGGGCTCGGAAACGCTCGTGGACCGTGGGCAGCCGGTGGACAGCGGCGGCGGTGGCGAAGCCGAGGCCGATGTCGAGGAGACGGACCCCTCTCAGGTGTCGGAGAGCGAGGAAGGGAACGCCGGCCGGTCCCCAGGCGCTTCGGCCGAAACCCCGGACCCCGATGGCTCACCGGTCAAGACTCTTTCGAGCGTCAGCTTCGGGGAGACAGAGGTGAGCAGCGACGGGGACGAGACGGACGTGACGTCGGGGATATTCACCGACCTGACCCAGGAGTACGAGAGCAGCGAGGCGGTGCTCTCACACAAGTCCCTGCAGAAGCTGGTGGGGACCCCCGACTCGCTGGAGTCTCTGGACATCCCGTCCACCACCAGCTCCTGCGACATCTTCAGCCCCACCGCCTCGCACTCCCCCTGCCTCCAGCCCAGGGCGGCCGACAGCGGGTATGACACGGAGAACTTCGAGTCACCCGAGTTCGTGCCGAAGGAGCCGGCGGAGACGGGGAAGCCCGGCGCGGTGGCCAAGCCGGCAGCGGGCAGCGGCGGCCAGGACTCCGAGACGTCCCAGGATTCCGACCTGCCGGACGCGGATGGGAAGAATCCCTACAGGGACTCGGCTTACTTCTCGGATTACGACGCTGAGTCCGAGAGGTGTCAGTCGTCGGAGGAGCTCGCCCAGGACGAGGCGGACCGGACGCTCTTGAGCAAAGGCCGACGGCTGGAGACCGTCCTCGCGGGGCAGGTCGGTCATCCCCACCCCAGCACTCAAGCCGACCTCCCCCACGGTGTCGCTGGAAATAAAACGTCCGAGCAATGCGGTTCGATCTCCGATGTCCTTCCGGGGGCTTTGTTCAGCGCCAGAACCAGCGGTGTTGCCGCAGACCTCTCTGCGCAGGCAGAGCAGACAAAGACAAGCCCCCCGGTGTTGGGCTTTGAGCGACACCCACCGGCCTCGTCGAGAGCAGAGGACGAGCAGAAGGTTGAGAAGAGGCCGCACTTGTGCCTCGTAGCGAGCGAGGGCTCAGGGATGGAGACTGAGACAGAGACTGAGAACGAGAGTGCCCTCTATCAGGTGGGTTACGTGCTCTGCGGGCAGGTGGCGGAGGCAACTTACCCCGATTCGCCGTTGGACCTGAACAAGGGCAGTTTGGCTCAACGCCGAGCTCCTGATTCAGACGACCTTGGCTTTGAGGAGCTCAGAGGAGGGTCTTTGCTACACAAGGAGGTTTGTCTTCACCGAACAGTGGGCTGCAACTTTGACGGCCGGCAGTTGTTAGCGGGCAGGAAGCCGTCTCAGCAGGGTGGGGGCAGAGAGGGATTCTACTGCACCAAAACGGACATCCAGATGAAAACGCACCCGTACTCCTTAAACGTTCAGGAAAAGCTGGAGAACTTCATTGTCCCAAAGATACAGTCTGTCCAGCTGTCTTTGCAACTCCCTCTGCTGAGCCTGAAGAAAGACTCCAAGCAGGTCCTCGAAGGGGAAGAAGGAGACGAGGAGGAGGAGGAGGACGAGGAGAGCGAGGACTCGGACGAGGAGCTCGGCTGCTATAACATTCAGGAGCCCAGCGAGGAGAGCGAGGAGGAGGCTCCCGCCATCCCCATCATCGTCACGGAGAAGGACGACGGGAAGAACCTCAGGAGCCTCCTCAAGATGCCCAGCCTGATGTACGAGTCGTTCTGCGAGGATCTCGACCGCAAGAAAAAGGCTGTGTCCTTCTACGATGATGTGACTGTCTATCTCTTTGACCAGGTGGGTCCCAAACAGTTCCCATTCAATAGGCCGGAGCAAGAGTTCTAACAGTAAGTGACCACCAGGATCTCAATCTCATGTTCCATCGGCCTTGGTCATTGACGCTTGTCAACCCACCTACCACCACCTCCCATAAAGCACAGGATTCCACTGCTGCCAAAGAGCTCCCTTTTAGTTCCATAGAACTATCGAAATTTACAGCACAGAAGAATTTACAGCCGTTCACCCCATCACATCTGTGCTTTTCAGTAATGAGTGGTGAATCAACTCGGACCTGAGGTTTCCTTCCCCTTTGGCGAGGTCACCCATCATGGAGTGCGGGCTCCATTCTGGATGACCGTAAACACTTCTGTGCCTATGGGGAAATCTCGGCAGTTTGGTTTGGAGATACTTAAAAACATGCTGGGTTTCTGGGTGTGTCAGACACCCGACTGACCAAAGAACAAATATTGAACAAATATCTGATCTCACACAAAATATTGACTGTATTTCATCCACAAAATATACAGTCAATTCACTTTATGGCATATTCTGCAAAGCGTTTTGAAACGTCTCGAAGACGTGATAAGGCCCTATATCAAATGCAAGGATTATTATTATTATTATCTCCCCTTGTTCCCATTCACAAGGTCCACACGGTTTTCTAACAGTAAAAGCTAGTGACTAACGTTGGAAGTGGAACTCATCCCTGTTTTATTCCAGGAGAGTCCAACGAGTGAGCTCAGCGAGCAGAATATTCCAGAAGTTGACCCAACATCTCAGCGTCCTGCGGGGAGCTTGGAGGGAGGAGGAGGAGGAGGAGGAGGCAGCAGCAGTGACCCAGGGTCAGCAGACAAGCAGAATGCCTCCGATGACTCTTCTGATGGAAACTTCTCAGAAGAAGGTAATGTCAGTGTGACAGCCACCTTCCAGCCTGGCCACAGTAAATGCACACCATGGTCATTACCGGTAGAGGGTTTGTAGACCCCCCGGTCTGGGTGTTTTCTTTGGGGTGGGGTTGGGGGGGGGTGGAGGAGGTGATGACCAGAGGTAGAGTTAAAGAGGTAGACTGTATTTTTTTTAGATGCTTTGTACAGGTTGACCAAAAAAGTCTTGATACCATTACAGTGTCTAATAAGTTTTAAAGACGACCGAAAGCAGAGTCAAGGAAGGGGAGCAAAATGGACATTTAGGCAATTGAGACGTTTTTAATTAGTTTTATTTGCTGACCTCTCGTCTTCCCCCCCCCAGGCAGCGGCTTTGAGTGGGACGATGACTTTACCGTGATAACCGAGAAGCCGTCCTTTGCCCCCGAGGCCGCCTTGTCACCGTCTGAGGCCGGTCCCAGCGCCGCTTCCAGGCCGGAGCCCATCCCGGTGCAGCCGACCCGCTTCTCCCGCTTCACAGTCTCTCCCGCCACAGTGTCCAGGTTTTCCATCACCCACGTGTCTGATTCCGACATGGATTCCATTGGAGGTATGTGGAAAGACTCATAATAGCCACCGCAATCTTTGCCTTTCAGGGTTCCGAGACGCTATCCGAAAGGTGATGGTGGTAGTGGTGGTGGGGGGGTTGGTGGGTGGGGGGGGGTGAGATGGGGCGCAATGTAAATGCAAGCTGTTGTTGTTGCATTTAATGTAATGACTATCACATCACAAGGTCACTTCAGATGAACAAGGCTCTTTGGTCACTGATCTCGTTCTCCCAGAACTATTCCGAGTCTCAAATGGTGAAACTGGTGATGCTCAATGAGGCTTCTGCCCCCCCCACCAATTCTGCTACCCCCCTCCACCCCAACTGTCCCAAATCAGAGGAGTTCCCACTGGTCGACCAGGCACAGTGTATACCCCTCCCTCAGGTTAACAAATCAGTCCAGACAGACACCCTTCCCCACACACAGAAATTTTCCGAGGCTGAAGATCTTTCTCATTCATATTTTTCTCCTCTTTGTTCGCCCCTCACCCCCCTCCACTCCCCCCGCATCTCCCCACCCCTCCACTCCTCACCCCCAACCAGGCAGCAGCGAGGAAGGGGAGCGAGAGTGATACCTGTGACACCGAGCTTCAAAATGTCTTTTCTCTGAAACGAAACAGACATCACCCGACAGAGGAAGATTGTGAGATGAATGTTTCAACCGACCGGACGATTTTTAAAACTGCTGTGAATTGTTGGGCAATTGGATTGCGAGTTTTAGCTGAAGCTACGCACGTTGGACCCAGGATGCTCTCTCTCTATCTCTCGCTCTCTCCCTCCTCCGTATAGTTGGGATACCTTGCACCGTGCCAACCTGCGTTTGATGGGGATCGATCCATGCAGAGTTCAACGTGAGTTCGATTCAAACGCAGCACCCCTCACCCCTCCCACCCCAACAGGGGAGGAGAGGTGGGGGACAAAACATTACCAGACTCGATGGGCGAGTTTTGTTACATGGAGATCGGACGTGCCAATCAAACTGGGATCGCTGCGGCGAGGAATCGGCGAGGCCACAGGCACCAGAGTGAGCGAGCGAGCCCACTGGAGAACATTTAACCTGAAATATCAATTGCCAACTGTTTTCAGGCTCCATTTGTAATGAAGCACATTTTGCAAATAACACCATCTGCTTGTAGTTCTCATCCGCTTGGGCATCTGACAAGTACTTGGTTGAAGCTACTTATTAACCCGTTTCCTGTCCACACCCCACTGCAAAAACAAAACAACACCCTCATGCCCTCCCGCCAGTATTCAGTCCACAGTATTTAGGGTTTTGGCCTTTCTTTCCCCCTTCCCTCCTCACCCTCTCCGCCTCCCCCTCTCTCCCGACCACCATCTCTCTTGAGTTTGATATCTGATAGAGAGGAGAGAAAAAAATAATCATTTAAATTGCAATGTATACTATTTTTGTAAAACCATTCAGACTACTGATGAATATATTGTAAATGTTGCCAAAGAGATGTAAAAAATTGTGCAGCTCCTAGTTCCCGTTTGTCGCTATCTGTATGGCTTAAGTTATAGGTGTCGGTACCAATTTTGAATAAAACGAGGGAAGCTGAGTATTTAGCAATCTTTTGCCTTCCCTGATCATGCTACGCAGACAACATTCATTGAGAACGACGACTGACTGCATGATGACAGTAACACATAGGCTGTCCTTCAGTGTTAGTACTTTGTATAACTGATCAATACGGGTCATTACTGCTGTTCAGTGTTTTATTTCCATTTAGCTACCAGCATGTGGCTTAAATCACTTGACTAATAAAGTTTTTACGGTACTTATAACCTCTGTTTTCTTTCAAAAAAAAACTTTTAAAAAATCCTTTTTTTGTTCATGGCCCTTAAGCCGAGGGATTTCCCCCCAGAAGCTCCATAATGCCACAACTCTGCCCAGTAACGACAGCGACAACTTTTGTTTATATAGCGCGGTTCACTGTAAATTGCTGGGTTGATATCTTCAGAACAACCTACAGTCCTGGTTGGTACGACAAAAGGTAAGGTTGGCTTGGATCACTAGTGTTGTGAACTCACACTCGGCCTGAGAAATGGCACCTTATCACTCATCATTTCCCTCGCGCCCAGAAAAAGACTCGTCACCCAACCCTCTAAGCAACGTTTAGCACTGAATCACTTCACAGTGAAGGAATCGAACTGGTGAGATTGGAAGTGGTTTAACCTCAGTGTAGTTTGATCTTGTGTTTGTTTGCAAAGCCTCGCTGACATAATGCGTTGCCATCCACGTGGAAATCTCTCTTGAATCCAAAATGACCAGAATGACATATTCCCCCAATTCATCCACTGACTCTGTTGAGTCGCTCTCATAGGATTTGGAAGTTACTGTGGAAAAGTTGGTCTGCCACACAAGTGCTTGCACCAAATCGTGGCCTATTTTCTTGAATCGTGCTTAAACACTAAAATAATCCTTGATTTGCTAATAGCAACTTCATGTTATCAAAACTTCTCAGCTCCAATTCTCAGAATTTTGTAGGCAAACTGGGCAGCCAACCTGTGCCCTGCAATGTCCCACAAATAGCCATGAAGTATCTAGGGGATCGATACTGATGAGTGTAGTCAGTCACTTTTTTTTTGGTGGAACTGTCATTACGGCTCCAGCTATCTGTACGACCTGATCTAAGCTGCATTTGATGAATTGCACACAACAGCCCACTTTTTGTACACCTCTCCTGTGATGATTTCTCCGCTCATATTCCAAGTTCCCTTAAAGTCACTTTACTGACATTATTTGATCGGCAAGTATATTCATTACATTTACTATTAATCACCACCTTTCTCCTGCAGTTAGACCTATCGTGTTCTGTCACTGCATGTCGAATACAACATTTAGCTCTCTATCCAAAAGGTTCCACCACTTGCTTTGAGAAGATACCAAATAGAAGCACATATTGCAAAGTAATAAAAACATCAAACATTTCAACAAAACAATTTGGAATAATGATTACAGGACACAGGTTTTTACACTCAATCATTTTTATTTCCCATAAATTACTATCAAAATCAGTTTTTGATTACTTGGGTTTTACCAGAAGAAATATACTCTAGTCAAATTCACAAACATCGTGATTTATGAAAAATGTCAACTATATAAATTGAGATTACAATACAGATATATCAAGAATCCTCCAGGCAGATCTAAGCTACCCTTAGAAAGCTTCTGTAAAAATGAAAGGCACAGATTAACCCACACAACTGTGCTAATAAAATTATAGGCGTGAGACAGTGTTTAATACAGAACTGAATTATATGCATTGCTATTTTATACAAGGGAATGTAATTCACGGAGATGTGTGGATAAATATTGCTGCTGATTATATAAACAATTGCACAATAATGTGCACAAGGCTGTTTATTATTGATGAAGTGCCAAATTTCAAAAATAAATGACAGCTCATGCTGAATTTCTTATTTATTGTTAAACCCCAACCCAACACCCGATTCTCAGAAGTGCACACTTCCAGTGACTTATTTTTATTTAAATGTTAAGATCATCCACATCCACTGGAAGAAAACCAGAGTGATGGCTTCAACTTTATGCAATATGTAGCCACAAAGAATCATGCATTGCACTGGGTTTTTGCAGCAAAAAGCATTTAAATGGGTTAAATAAACCCAACTACTTCAACAGGCCAGCCACCATTCCTTTAGCAGCAATACAGAGTAAACTCACTCGTTCTTCAGCTACCCAGAGAACGATTCAAAAACCATTTACAATATAATCCTATGTAATATACCAAGTAACTGGTGTGCAGTGTAACTATCATCAGCAGTGTTTGCTCAGAGAGTGCAAAAACTGCATAAAAGACACATCGTATAATTCGACTAGTTTTAAACAGCAAGTTTTAATAACGCTTCTCGAACAGGCAAGTTTCAGAAACGCCAGCTCCTCCGTCCTTAAAATGTTTCACTAATTATGCTTTTCATTCTAAAATAGTTACAAAGTGTTGAGTAACAGAACTAGAGTTTTTTTTTTTGAATATGTATTTTCCTCAGGTCCAATACTGACTGCATCAGGGTGCAATCAAGCCCTGTGCAAAACATTCGTGTTTAAATATGCCAAGGGAGCAAGCTGCTCTTCTCAGACTACTTCTTCCAATTCTTAAAAGAAATGCTTCTCTCAAAAAGAATGAATAAGGCAGTGCGATTATTTCTCCTCCGTCCTAAAGCAATGTTGTCAATATACAAAGGGAAGCTTAGCACCTCTTCTCACACCCGCAAATTCTCTCGATCTATGCGAAAAACGAGAGCGAGAAAATAAGAAACTCTTTTTGCACTCTGCTTCCTGAAATTGTCCATCAGGTTGCAATAACATTTCTATTGTACATAACATTGGTGGCCACTGGTGACCTACTTACTCTTGTAACAGACACATTATGGATCATTAGAGATAAGGAAGCGACTAAGCACATGGATGCGAATGGAACTTTGGACGACTTTACCATTTGTTTGTAGAAAACATGGGGGGGGGGGGGAAAAAAACGACAAAGGGAAAGAATAGGAAAAAATATATATATGTATATAGAAATGACTTTTTCCACAACAATTTCTCAGAGGAGATGGAAGCATTTTAGGATAAAGCAAAGATTTATACTTTAACAAATTGAGGTAACTTCAGGTGAAAGTTAACTCTTATGTACATTATACAATTTTTTAAAAATTTATTGTTTTAAACACACACGACTACTGTAGTGTACACAAGTATCAAAATTTAGCCAACGTCCCACAAATAGTCAGGTAATAAAATATTTCAATGAGTCCAAGAACAACCAAGGGTGAATGCCCAACAGGAAGTCATTCCCTCTACACAATTCCTCATGAAGATAAAAGATCTGTGCTTCAAGTGGCCATTCTCATAGTAGCAGCAACTGGAACATTTTGAGGAGCTTCTGAGTTCCGACACAAATGATGGGACTTGGGACTTCCCTCCCCAGATTGGTAAAGTGTTCAGGGTATTGCAGGGCATGATCTGTCATGTGATCGAGTTGGCTTCAATTTGATACTTGCCAGAGCATCTCTGTGTAAAAGAGGAAAGAGAAAGAGAGAATGTATTAATACAATTAATTATTCCATAACATACAGCTGTGACACCATGTCAGCACCATTTGCAAGAGTTTGAGATACCCACAAGACCTTTCACTGTCCCTGCAGCCAATCGACCTTCTCTTGTTCCTAAATTTCTGTATATGTATTCCTACCTCAGATGGCAACAGGCAATCTTCCCAAATCAAGTACAGGATTTTGAAACTCCCTAGCACTCCCTTCCTTTGCTCAGATCTGAAACTACTACATGCATACAATGCTGTTATTTCGTTGTTCTGTGTGGGATTTACCAGCAGGATGTGGAGGCGGCCTCTGATAATACTACTCTGGAGATGGAGGTTTCTTGGCTCCCGTCTTCTCATTTACATACCATTACATCACCAACCTGTTCACTGCACCTCTCTAATAATTAAGTGCAACATTTCTGCCCAATTAATAACACTGGGTTTGAGATTGTTGTTAATTCCCATCACCTTACTTCCCCATTCCCCCAGGGTTGTTAGGATGTGGAATGCCCTGCCAGGAACAGTGGTCAAGGCAGGATCCAGATTTGCTTTCAAGAGGTAATGAGATTCTAAAAAGGAGCAAATTGGAATAGTGTGGGGCTGGGGAGAGTGAGGAGAAAAAAAAAAGGCAGGTAAATGGGGCTAAATGGATAGCTATCTACAAGAACCAACACCGACATGATGGGCTAAATAGACCCCTGTGTTGCAAAGTTCTACTGCAACAAGTTTGAATCATTTAATTTTCCAATTTATTCAGCATATCTTCCGTCTCCAAAAAAACAAATTAAAAAAAGCTGTTATGGTTTGCAAGAACAACAGTTTTTTTAAATCTAAACTTTTGATTATCCCCTTCCATTCCTAACCTGAAGTCATAATTGTAGTCTTAATCATCTGCTCTAAGCAGCTTGGTCTACAAAGGTCAGCATTTGCTAGAATTAGATAGCCGCATTTTGCCCGGCTGAAATGGTAACACAGCTGTAAGTGGCTTATTTGAAGGAAATCACATCAACCAGTAAACAGAAAGACATAGCAGATCAGTGGAGATATCAGCAATGAGTCACAGCACCAAGATGAGCCCATGCCCTGTAATCAAGAAGCTTATGTGCAGTTGGTACTATAGTGAAGACACCCACAGATGAACAGTGGTGAAGTACATAAAGTAACAGAAGAACAAAAAAAGCTTTTTCTACAGGGTAAATCTCTGCAGGAGCACTGAAAACTGGAGGAAATCTGAAAGCTCAATTACTTTGAAAAGAACAAATATAGTGAAGGTATCCAATAATAGGCTCTAGACAAGGACAGTGCAGGTTTACTGCTGTGTGTGTGTGAGTTGCTTAATAAAAAAGTTCAAATAAGTTCAAATCATTGAACTGCACATCTGTCGGCGGTCACTGCTTTAGTGGGTGGGGGGGGGGGGTGGTGTGAAGATCCTTCCTCCTTTAATGGATCAGGACTTCTCTCTCTCTCAAGACCTGCAGCAAGTGCAGGGCTGGACTCTCAGGAAGAAGCTTGCAATCTCTAGTCCCACAGCAGCATCTAGTGTCTTCCACTCGCTTTCCTTCATTAAGTGCCTATAGTCAGTTCTTGGCAGGTCTCACTATACAGAGTGCCATGGGGAGTGGGGAGGAGGAAGCTGCTCTGAACCCAAAGGCATTGCATCACCTGCAGCCACTGAGCAGCAAATGCTAGAAAGGCCAGAGGAATTAAGTGCACAGCTTCCATGTAAACAGTTACAGTGAGGAGGGGTAAGAGAATTCATGGGGAAATTGTGAATTGATATAATACAAAATTACATTTGAATAGCACCTTTCACATCGGGAAGATGTCCCAAGGCGCTCTGCAATCAGGGATTAGGGAGAGTGGAGGGCAGGGAGGTTAGGAGGGTGGCCGAAGGCATGGTCGAAGAGGAGGGTCTTGAGACGTGCCATGAAGGAGACAAGGGAGGGAGTGAGGCAAAGGGAGTGTGGGATGGAGTTCTAAAGGGTGGGGGCAAGGGTGATGCACTTTTAAATCCAATGTCTAAGGTAACTAAAAGGCTGCCCTGCACTCGTTAGTATTCGGACATATGATTTCACACAATTAACACGCAGAAGTTGTCTTGGACAGGATGAAATGCAGAAACAGATTTAGCTCAGGGCTGTGAGTGAGACAGGACTTGCCCATTTGTGAAGCCACAGTGGGGAATGAGTGATTGTCACCAGCAACAGACAAGGTGATAAAAGTGAGACTGGCATACGGAAATGCCAAACTTACTAATCTAGAGAGGCCATATATGTGGCAGAAGGTTAAACTCAAAACCTTGCAACCTCGGCATCAGAACTGTAATGAAAAAAATTCAGTAGGTTTGTACCTGTTGGTTTGAAAAATCTGGAGGGAAATTACACTTTATACTGAATGCAAAAAACAAAACATTCAACAATAAAATAATAATTCACAGAAAAACACAAGTTTCTATAACTAGTCCATTTACTTATTGAAGAGAAAGCATCGTAATTTTCAAATAAATACACTGAAAACAATTGTAAAATTTAATTTTACAGCCGTATTTAAAAGGCATGCATTTTCCCAGGACATAAGATAAAAAATACATTTGACACCAGTTATTTGGGGTCTAAGACTATAGTAGAAGAATAGAGTCTTACTTGAGAGATAATCTTGAATGACTGTAGCTATCAAGGCCCTTAAAGAGAGATACGTTAACATTAGTAGAGTGGCCACTAGGTGTCAGGGTTAAATGCTTACTCTTTGTGCAAACCAAACACTTTCAAGAGGCTGTCTGTAGCCAACATCAAGCACGTTTAATGCATCACGTGGAAATTATCTATGAATTTGATAATGGGTTATTGTCTCAGTTTAATCACCATCACTTACTGATGAATTCACACGTGTTCCAAGCTCTTAAGTTACATTTGAATATAAAGTAACTTCCCCATTAGCGAGAACGGTTTTGGTGCTTTATGAACCGTAACAGCTATGAAAACACCAGAAATTCACTCAATATTTGCAAACTCAATATACTCACAGAAGCAAAAGGGAAAAGGCACGCAGCAATCACTAAACAAACAAACCAGCCTATCATGCGTGTACTTTGCTTCTTTGTACATTTTTTAAAAAAAGTTATAAAGGTTGCTGCTTCCACAAAAGCCAAATCAAAAGCAAGGCCAAAACACAATATGCTTTAGGTGTAATCAGAACATTGGAAACCAGATCAGCAATACCATTGTGTGGCCACAACAGCCTCTTGAGGAACATAAACATGGTCACACTGGAGTTCGAAGTCCTATTTGCTGCAAGGTTCTCCTGTCTCCCGGCCTTTGTGGAATCATCTGGGACAAGGGAAGAGGAGGAAAGAGGTGTTTCCTGCATTATTGCAGTGGGCATCCTGATAAACCACAATCACGAGGGGATGCCAAGTGAGCTGGATTGTGTTGCCAGTCAGACAGAGGACAAATACAAGCAGGAGAGATGGGGGGGGGGGAAATGCATATATGAGGTTTTTTTTTTTAAGTACTCATGTAAAAGATGTTATTAAATAAAAATCGCTGGCACAGAGATTGGCCCCTGTATGGCAGTGTACTGACCTGATTTAATATGAATTGGAAAGGTCAGAACTGAAGCAACACTTACATAAAACAGTACAAAAACCAACTTCTCAGAAGCTCCTATTTTTAAGTACATTATAGAACAAAACACCCTTAGTCCAGAGAGTATTCATGCGATTTCAACTGCAATCAGCCAATAAATAACTCTCAATTTGTTACATTCTTAAAGTTGGGCTTTGTCTCAGAGGCTGTGACCAGAATATTGATCAACTTGTTTTGATGCCCAGGATCAGATGACCTAGAAAGTTGGATTAAGGAATGCTGTGTAGCATGAAGAAGCTGCGCTGTACGGCATCATTATACTGTAATGATAGACCTGCACTTCACTGCAAAGCTCTGGTGTGGTGTGATTTACTTCAGTTGTAAGAAAACTAATTTTCTTGGCGCTGGGGTTCTGTGTTCGGGACAATCATTAGAACTGATCTGAAGTCAATCCTTTGGGTGCAAATATTCTGAAAGTCATGGCAGCACTCAACTCTCCCCATTCGAAAGTCGTTTATTCAATGGTACGCAGGTTTTAGCAAAACAGATTTCATTTGTGAAAATACAAATACATGACACAAAGCTTAAATGCAGTCAACATTTGAGGAAATAATTGGAGTGAGATTTGGGATGAAGGGGAGTGAGATTGACTAAATCCATCGCAATATTGAAGCTCTGTACATTTATGATACAATTTTATTTAGTTACATCAATCTCTGTATGAAGAATCACCCTTCTCAGCGATTGTGTGGGTTAGGTGTATTTTTTGTACCAGATTCTCTCAGGAGCTGCCTGCTGTTGACAGCCTTCAGTTTGACAAGCGTTGACAGCTTGGGACCCACTCACCATTAAAGGTAGACAGCCCAATTACCTCCATAAGCGTTTTTTATAAAATAGCAAAAATGCAAGTCCGACGTTAAGAGAAAGCAAACTAGCACAAGGTTGCACTGGACGATAAGTACCTGTGAAAAGCCCGGCACTGCCACACTGTATGGCCTGGGTTTGAAGGTGCTCGTGTTTGTTTTGGGCTGAGGCTGTGAGATCATTTTGTAGTCAGGTGGAGGGATGGACAGATCCTGCTTCTCAAGGAGGTTTCCAGTGCTGCAGCTTTTCACATGGATCAAACTGTAAATTAACAAAGCAAATGGGTTATCCTGGGAATCCCAGAGGTTTGCATAGCAGCTAATAGGCTACATTTCTCAAAGTTATTTGCCAATACGTTGACCCTCTTCTTTTTTAATTATTTATTACTACACATGAAGGATTTTAATGATCTGCAATTTGTGCATTGACCTCATCAAGCCTTTACAGAAGCCACCAACATACTGGAGTCTAAGGGGAAACCTTCAGCAAATTCTCTTATTATTCAGGACTGAATCATTCAAGCAAGAGAGAATAGATTGGCATCAAAATAAATCCATCGGTATAAAACACTATAATTTTTAATACACTAATAATCCTTGCATTTGATATAGAGCTTTTCACATCTTCTAGACGTCTCAAATCGCTTCACAGAATATGCTGTAAAGTGAATTGACTATATATTTGTGGGCAAAACGCAGTAGCCAATTGCGCACAGCAGTGTCCCACTAACAGTCATGGATTAAAGTGACCAATTGATTATTATTATTTTTTAGCTGCCTTTCACCCTTTAATGGCCACCCAAAATACAGAATTGTACCACTATGTCTTTTTTAAAAAATATAATCTGACCCTCATCAGTTGTAAAATTCTGAAACACAGTCCGTTATTTGGTCTTATTATCTGTTACATTAAACACCATGACAACACCCTGTGGCAAACCTAATAGCTTTTCCTTCCCCCTCCCACGTGAACTCAGACGTTATTTGTGTGAATAATAATCTTGCTGAGCAAGGGATACACTACATTTCAAAATGTAGCCACAGGGAAGAAACAAACTTCAAAATTAAAACAAGGGAATAATTCGGCCACCGTTACTGAAACCTGTAAATCTTTGGGTAAAACAAGGTACTGTACTGCAATTTGATTAATTTTAATTGAACTGGAATGATCAGGGGTGGTGCTGGCACACAGCACCAACGGGCTGTACCAAGGAGAGGATAGCACATAGTAACAGATTTACACCCCCACACCTGGTAAATCCCAAACCTCAGTGCAGAGTGTCAGGAATTACTGTACAGGAAAGCCAAGTTCAGCCATCCCTCCTACTTCTGCTTTGAGGGGCTGTTAAACAATGGGGTGGGCGCGGGTAAGAGAACAAAGAGGAAAGTAAGGCCATATGGGCAGATGCAGTTACCAGTAGAAAGTTCAGCAGAAAAAATACTGGGATTACTACTTACTTGTTACGTAATTTGCCATTCAGTCCATTCTGTATAACACGGGTGTAGGAGAAGGGGAACCATCCTCTCCTGAAAGCAAACAGAATTCCTGGGTCATATAAACTTCCATAAATAAAATACAACCGAAAAGCAGTAATGACATCAATTTTACTCGCTCGCACTCCTAGAATACAGAGTATCTTTTGTATAATACAATTAATCATGTAATGAGCGAGCGTGTGTGGTGGAATACTTCCCTTTAACCAACAGACAAATTCCTGTGGACTGTCGAGTGACACTGAAGGTCTCAATATGGTCAGTGCAGAATTAGGGTTGGTCAGTGAAAGGAAAGCTAAACTGAGTTACTTACAATCGCGACTTCTCGTTCTCTCCGTAATGCCAGCCGTCTTTGGCTTCGGGGACGAGCAGTGTGATAAAGTCACCCTCGCTGAAGCTCAACAAGGTGCTGTTGTCTCCCGCTTGATGTGAAAAGATGGCCTGTACTTTGGTTCGGCCATTCTTTTCCAGCCCGGCGGCCATTGAGCTGGACCTGGGTAAAGTCTTATTCTCAGCTGAAGAGAAAGTAAAGGAAGTGTCATTGGGAGACTGCACTCACTGATGCTACCTTGTGTTCTAAACCTCTGGTGTTGCCTCAAAGTGTCGCCAACACCAAGTAACTAATGCTGCCTAGCTAGTGCAAGTGGCAATGTTAAATCAAAACACAGAACACCGCGCCCTTCCCAAAGACACTGGGGAGAAATGAATGTCAATGGCTCAAGGGGATCGATCGGTAACCCAGTAAACATCAAGCTTTGTGTGTGTGTATATATATTAAAAAAATTCATAATCAGTCTTCCACAAGTGAGTATTTCATTTGAATTATGAGTCCTAAACATCCTTGATGCATGCATGCAGGAGATAAAATATGAACTCTTAAAATAGAAACATGTTAGTCAGTGAACCTCACCTGCAGTGAGTGTGTGTGTATAGGAGAGGGGACAGTTTGCACCTTCAATACACTTGCAATGACATCTCTATTTCTAGATCTTTAGAGGACCGAAAAACGCACAGCGCAGAGAGTTCTACTACATCTTTTCCAAAGGGCAGAGTTGGCATGTTGTTATCTAAAGTCATTTCAGTACAGTACTTGTTTTGACTACATCCCCACCCACATCCCAAATTCATGAGGCAAACCACCATAAAGAGGGTTTTTTTGTAAGCAGAAAACAAGCTTAGCGACATGCAGCTCTGTTCCAATCCCACGCCAAGAGGCCACGGGTTTGCTCGCCTTGGACAAACAGTTTACTTGTGCAAACTGGTTTTATCTAACCCAATTGTCTCAAATGCTCGATTAAATGTTTAAAAAGCCAATCGTATTAAACAAACAAGTGCTGTTGTCAGACAGAAAATAGCAGAGTGGAGCTAAATGCTGCAATTGTGCATAAGTGACTGGATTTAAAAGCTCACAGTAGTTGAAGGCTGATCAACAGGCTGAATGGGATGGTGCTGGTAGGTAAGAGTGAGTGCAGTGTCACTACAGGTGGTCTCAGCTTTTGATGAAAGTGGTGCGAGTCTCAAATGCTGTTCCTCTTCATCAAACAAGGGAAGGGTTAAGTGCATTTCATGACCACTTTGCATCAAACCTACATCCAGTTACGCACACAGCCCATGACTAGAGAAACAAACAAGTAAGTCCGTGATGGTACAGCTGCTGCATTAGGGTGAGTTTCCTTGTCTCCATTTAGACACATCACATTGCCATTTTAATATGCATTCTTTTGTCTTAGACAATACCCAGATTTGAGGTTACTCACATAATAAAGGGCTGGCTTTCAGTGGCATTGCTTTGCGTGTGGGCAGCGTATTGGAATAGACTTCAGTCTGTGGCTTTGGGAGCAGTGGTGGTGAAGGAGGCTTTGGCTTGACATCAGACCAGCCAGACTGGTTATATTCTCCATTATTGGAGTGTGATAAATCTCCATTAGGCACTAATGCAATATCTTGGCTTGACATTAACTGAAACAAAAACAGAAGAAATATTTACTCAGCTTGCAATGCATAATCTGGGAAGAAATTCAGGCTGAATGTATCTGTACAACTGGTATCAAAGATAAATAGTTGAAAGCAGCACCGGTCCATTATTTGAGGACTGCTTTGCCAGTAATCCATTAGTAACCAAAAATCTCTCATGTTCTTATACAAAACAAGTAGAGTCCATAACAGAGGTGAAACTTGACAAGATAAAACTTGTTATGACAGAGTTAGCAATTACTCAACAGAACATACAACTTAGATTTCAGTCTTTAAAAATCAGGGAATTATGCCAGTTGTCAAGTTTGTTTACTGTGACAGATGTTCAAAGTTTCATTTATCAACGTGAATAAGAACATATCACAAGACTTCTGAATTCAGACTTGAATTATGGCCCAGTTTTCTGGTTGCTAGGAGGGAGTTTATGAAACTATGCTGGTTTGTTATTATTAAATAATGGTTTACAAGAATAGGCTAGGAAAAAGTTTGAAAGGAATGAATGGAAGTCAATTTCCTTACAGAAAAATATAAACAGAGGCTAAATCATTTTGAAAACATTTTCCAGAAAGTTTTCAGCATTCATCAAGCAGAACAAAAATTTAGCTTCCCTGTGAAATGGAGGGTCACAGGACAAGTTTCTACACAAATAAACCTCCAGGTTTATATTGGGTCAGTCTGGCTCAGCACTTGCGCATCAGAGTCAAACGATTGTGGGTTCATGCCCCACCTCACGGCTTTGAGATTATAGACTAGTCTGTCACTCTAATAAGCACTGGGGAAGTGCTGCATTGTTAGAGACATCCTTTGGATTCAATGCTAGATCAAGGTCCTGTCTACTGTTCAAGTGGATGTTAAGGATCCCGTGGCAATATTCAAAAAGAGAAAGGAGTTTCTCCCAGTGTCTTGGCCAACAATCCCCCAGGTAAAATTTATCGTTCATTTCATAGTTGTTTGTGAGACACTCAATGTGTGCAAAATTGGATGCCACGCTTGCCCCAAAATACAAGTCCTGTGAAGCACTTTGAGACGTTTTGAAAACATCAGAAGCTGCCTCAGCAAGATTTCGCCAAATGTTATAATAGTTGTTTTTTTAAGTTGTACTTAAATAGTCAGAGCTGTAAAAATCAATGAACTGATATGACACATTGTCATAATCAAATTCCTCCCACCAGACATCCTCAGGAAAGGGGAGACATTTACCAATGCTACCAGCGCCCTCACACTGAGTTAATAAAATAGTCATAAAGCTTTCCAAGTAAACACACAAATGGAGCAATGATCAACTGTGCAACTATTCATTTCTCTATAGAATTGCATAAAAATGGAATACACCCATTTGTGTCTTGCGAAATAATACATTTTAGATTGATCACCTTAAACGGAACACTATTCTAAAATGTTAATTATCCTACGAAAGCCTGAAGGTTATCAACATGTCAAATAGACGTCATTATTTAAATTGGTATCATTAAGCTATTTGAATAATTCATATTCATTGTTCCAAATTCCTGTGCGTATGAGCTCAAGGGAACAGATTCATCAACTTCAGTCAATTAGAATACTTTCTGGCTGCACTTACTGCGTGTCAAAGGGATATCAGTATGCAGTTACAGTATCAAGCGCAACAGAACTGTGATCGGTTCAGATGCACAGGATATCAGTATTGCAATAAAGAAAGTCATAGATTGTTACAGATATGAGATTCACAACTAGAAGATTTTAATCTCAGAATAGAATTGTCCAGAGATAAAGTATCAAAAACATGTGAAAAATACTTCACTGGCAGAAAACAGCCAGAGTTCCAGCTGTTCAGGTCAGCGGAATGCAAATCTAAAAAAGTTTCTAGTCACTAGAATTATTTAGCTGAGCAACCACGAGGGAAAGACTTGATATTCACTCTCTGCGAGGTGAGAAATTAAGAATTGTCCAGGGATACAATGACGCAAGTGGTGAAGCATTGTGGAATCTATAAGAATCCTAATTGCATGCAATCGCCACATTTTTTGCACAACACTTCATAAATGTCAATATGTGACGATTGACATAACGGATCAAACCATCTAGTTTCTCATTTGGACTCGGGATACATTTTTCAAAGTGTCACGCCAGGAGAACCATCGGTGTTTTGCTGACTTAGAAGCAAGTGTTTCATTGCTCCTTCCACAAGATTAATCCCATGGTGCTGTCCAGCTGAACACACAATGCAATCACGAGTTGAGTAATTAGCACCGAAAAGCAGCTTTGACTTCCTGTAACACGATTACCGACATATAGTTACAGTTCCAATTTATTTTGTAAACACATTTCAGTTCGGATTCCAGTATAAAAACAGCAGCCTTCTCACAAAATCTCAAGACAGCTGCAATTAGATGCTATTGGAAAAGGAGCAAATTGGGTACAGCCAGGACGCCTTTTTTCCTTTCCAAATAGGGAACCCATTTTTGCATTGCAAGACTGCTCTGCAAACACTTTAAAGCCATCAACTTTAAACCATTCCCACATTGCTGGAATATGTACAAGGGCAATTGCTCTTGGTTCGAATGATTGGAAAGGGTGGCAGATTGTAGACAATATAGCTCGAATAGGTGTTCTCAGAGGAAGTCCCTTACACTGTAGCTTTGGTAAACCCATATGGTACAAGTTGCTGCTTATTCTGCTGTACTGGAGTGGTAATCACCCCAGAAACAGAACAGTGCCATCAGACTTTATATTGCAGTGAAGCCACTAGTGGCATATTCCAAAATAAACCTGTAAATGAATGTTCTTTGGGTCATATGATGAGTTTCCTCAACCAGCCCACACGCTCGAGTACCATTTACTTACTGCACCTTCTGCTAAATCAATTCCCAGAAAAAAAAATAGCATCAGAAGGCAAGCCACTGCAACACACACTTCCCTGCGTCAGAGACTTGTATAGCTATACAGCCGCTTATGGTTTAATAAGACAGGAAATTGGGAAATCAACAGATTCATTATCAGTTTAAGTGGAAAGTAGCTTTGTATATTTAAATAATGAAGCAACACCACTTTTACTCTTGACTAACACCTTTGCAGCAAATAAAAAAACAGTTTTTTTTGCTAATCTTATCGTTTAAGCACTGGTGTATACATTTACTGTTAACACAACACACAAAGAAAGCGTTCAAAACCAAAAGCTCTCAGAATTCCCCTTCTTGCTTTGCAAGCACCATTGACTAGGGAGGACTACACCAAATTGGTTCTGCAATTTTTTTAAAAAACATACAGAAGTAAATGATTAAATTCCTAGTGGAGTTGCTCTCATTTCATTTTAATCAGGAATACAAACAGGGCCCAGCATAGCTTGGGGCAGAGTACATGAAACACTCCATTTTGGAACCAGGCCATTCAGCCCAATTTTTTTTTCCCGGGGTAATAATCCCTTCAAAGAAAATATTATATATATATATACACACACACACACACACACACAATCCACGATTGTTTGTGGGACACTGCTATGCACAATTGGCTGCTGTGTTTTGCCCACAAAATATACAGTCTATTCACTTTACAGTATATTCTTTGATACACTTTGAGACATCTCAAAGATGTGATAAGGCGCTATATCAAATGCAAGGATCATCATTATTACTATTAGCCCGTGAAGGTGTTCAAACTCCACATGAGCGTCCGCACCCCCACCCCACCATCTCATTTCGTTCTCCCTGAAGTTTCTTCTTAAATATAATGTTTACTGCTTCAACCACAGCTTTGGGCAGCAAGTTCCCCATCGTCACCAACCCTCAAAAGAAGTTCCTCCTAAACTCTTTTTGATCTCCTACTGGCCAGGTTATATTTATGCCTACTCATTTTAGACTATACTGCACAAAAATACTTTCTAGCACATCAAGAGCAATCAAAGACTAATAATTGTTAAAACTAAATAAAACTAACGCCGACTTATTCTCATTCTTCACCAACGTTTAGTTGCACTTCATTAAGGAGGGTGGTAATCAAAACCTCAGTACATGAACAGCTGTTGGTTTTGATTTATTTAGTGAGGCTGATCAACCAAGGCTCTAAATAAATTATATTTACCAATTGCAATTAACAGTTAACACAGTAAGACATTGCTCGTTCAGCAGGTTCACATTTCTGATCTGCACAATACAGAAAGTGGCAAAATTGGGCTTGTTCTCCAACAACCTGGGAGCCTGATTAATTTCCTAACAAACCAAACGATTGAAGGGGCTGCTTAGCTTTCTAAATTACCTGTTGTAGTTAGTGGTTAAACTAGGTCTCGGGTGGATTGTTGCTATCCTTATGCAGTAACATTTTGACAATGGCCTGTACATTTTTGCCAGGGTGAACAGACTTCCTGCTGACGAGTAATCAGTCCTACAGGGAGACACTCTCTTCCCCCTCCCCCTACTGATCTCAATTTAAAATATTGATACTCTCTCGAGGAACCAGTCAAAGCACAATCCATGAAATCAGAGGCAGCTAAGTTCATAAACAACCCACTCATCTCCAGAATAAAAATGCAATTAGAAAAACTACACAATAGCATAAATGACAGGAATCAAAATGTGCTTTTTTTATTTCTTTTAAACACATTATACATACCCAAAAGCAGATGGAAACCTTCTGCTAATGTTCTACATTTTTATTGAACCAGACACACTTAACAAACATAACGATTATCAAGATGAGAACTTCAGTACTTACCGAACCGTGACCAAGTCCACCTGCGCCAACAAAGGGTGCAAGTTCTGGAGGTACAGGCAGAGGTTTAGCACCAGGAATGGGGTCTGATATAACAAGACCTGATTTAGTAGTTGGCATGGGGTCAGCAATGAGGGTTCCTGGGGCGCTTGAAGACATTTGTTGTACCAACAACATTGAGCGATCGGGAATTTTGGATGGATGGCTACAGGCCTGCTGCCAGCCAGGAAGCTTCTGCGTTATCATATCCTTGCCCTGAAAAAGAATTCAAAGAAATTACCCCATTATTAGTCATATATTGGAACATTTCATTAATTTGATACTAAGGAGCAACAACAAGGTCATTAAAGACAGATATTGCCGTGGCAAAAGTTGATGGAACCTCAATTCCAAGTTGGATTAAAACACACTGATATTCTGAGAATCAAGTCTGTTTGATCAATATTGGAATCTCATTTCTTCTCTTCCTGAAAGAAAACTCATTACTTGCCTTCCCGTGGTACACCATCTTATTCTTGGCAACGGCACATTGCCTCTCAACCAGGAAGCAGTACCGCCTGCGTTCTTCAGTCAGTGCTGCTTGTATCCCTCGGCCACTTGATTGTCCATTTGACTCTGCTTATTGCTTATCGTCTCCACAAACTGCAATGAACAGAAAAGAAGATACCTTTCAAATGACTAAGAACGAACTTTTTTTATTACTGAATCGCTGCTGCAATCTTTTCTTCTAAACTGTGGTTTGCTATCATATATAAATACATAGAAGCATTATACACTTGCTCAATAAGTCTACAGACCTTTAATATTTGATGTAGTACCAAAATTCATCACAACTTTTTCATTATACCCATTAGTGCATGTTTCCCAAAATTCTGGGGAATATGATTTTGCTATGATTATTTCAGGAATTCAAACTGAAGGGGAGGAGGAGGCAGCAGAGGAAGAATCAGGAATCCTACATACAATTTTCAATGAACTTTGCTAAAAGTAGGTAAGAACCACACAGTGCAATGCAGCACTTCATGTCAAATGAGAATTGCTGATAAGACTTATATATGAAGAATACCCAGTGGGTGAGGTAGTAGATAGCTGCTAATGGCTATACTCTAGCAAGAGGCTGTGCCTTTAGGAGAGGATAAGGGTTAAAAGTGAAAAACGAACCCCACTATTAACAAGAAAATGCAATTGCATCATAACTGTAAGCAATTACATTGCTAAACTATTAAATAACTCACTATCCCAACAGTTACAAGATGCGAATGTTACCATTAACTATTCAATCATGGAAATGTGGGCAATAGCTATTCAACCATGGAAGCTCATTGCTGTGGGAGAGTAGAGCACATTTCCCATCTGAGAAATGGAAAAAGTGAAGCCACTGCATGAGATCAGGAGTTTGATTGAAGCCAAAATGATTAATAAACCATCAAAACATTCTTACCATTCCTTTGAAACAAGCTAAATAAGCACTGTACTACACAACCATTCTCCTAAACACATTAATGCAGGGATGGATGTGATAAATACATGTACTGTTAGTAATGGGTTAACAGATCTCAAGCTTGAAATTATTCAAGACACAATAATTGACCTGAGCACACAGTGAAATCTCTCAGAAGTGTCTGTTTTAATGATCTCCTTCTCTTCCTAAGTGGCCTTCAAACAACAGCTAGCATATTCCTCCTATGTTCATTGCGAATCCTGAACATTAAAGCATCACTTCACACACAACACAGAAAGGGCACAGTTCCTACAAAAGCATTCACTGGTGAAGACATCGAGTTTAATATAATGCATTCTGACCTAAATCCACCCTTATAATCAATATCCAATTAAACAATTATCTTTGCTGTTGTTTGAGGGGAAAAAGGACATATAAAAGAAAATTAATTCAAGATCACAAGATTGTAGCCCCAGAAAGCGTATTCTCACATCCGTTATAATCTCTTATGACTTGACATTTCAGAAAGATTTTTTTACAAGTTAAATCTGATTAAATTCTTTCGATGGACTTCTCTAGAATTGTAACTTAGCTCAACTATTATTTTCTTGAACATCTGCTTGTCTTAAGAGCCACTAGTAAGGTATCAAACATTGAACGCCATGAATGCTCATTGGCATTTTGTACACTTATGTTTCAAAAAAAGCAACCAGGGTGTTTCAGAAACTTGTTCTTTGCCAAGTTATGAGGCACGGAGTAAGAGATGCGACTAAGTAATACTTTGCAGCAAAAAAAACGTTAGCCAAGAATAGAATTTGATTGTTAGCCGAAAAATCAGCGATGAAGTGCAATCGTTGAAGCTCTATTGACATCTGAAAATAATCCCAATTTTACAGTGGGATGGGAAGAGATTATAGATGAAAGAAGAAGAAAGAAGTACTTCACTCAAATACCACTGTACCTCCATTAGGAAAGTATATTGGTGGAAGGATTATAGTTTAGGAATGCGTAGTAACTGGAGGAGTCCAAGAGGATTAAGTTTATTCGGGATTTGACATCAAACAGAAAGCAAGCTACAGATTCATCAGTGAACTACACCATTTTTATGCTGTTAATAAAAGTGCTTAATCACTCGCTCACCCATAAAATATTTATTATGCAAGGATCCAAAAATACATCAGAGAGGCAATGTTAAATTATTATGATTCCAACCGAATCAAATGGGATAGATTGGAGAAACACCTAACCCCCCACATACATAACCTCCAGTATATAACGTAAAGTTAACAGTAAAAGTATCAGTCACATATTTTATTTATACCCATTGCTACACTTGGCACCTTAAATCCCTTATGTCATGAACAGCGACTTAACATCCCTCAGATTTCCATGTAGATTAAAAATGTATACTTTTAAAATTCTAGTAGGTCTTTCGAAAAACACCTTTGATATCAAATTACACACAGAAAAGTCATTTTCCATGACTCACTCCTTTATTCCAAGCAAATTTACTGGTGTTAGGTTGTTGCCATGGCCACAGGAAACATGCCATGCAGGAGATTCTTTTCATATAGTATGAAACCACACTCCAAGGGATGGAAACCCACAAGTTTGTGAACACTCAAATCACAGTCACATCACATTCAGTGTGACCCTTGAATCAGTTGATGACCACAGCTGAGTCACAGCCGAAAATAAATATCTGAACAGCATGCTTAAAGTGGTCCTGAGATGACTGGAATGAGTTAAAATGCATTCATCATTTCACTTGTGAATCATAACCCACCATACAATAACTTGGCTCTCAGGGCCAAATCACAATCATTTTACATTTAAATCCTGCAGAAATTGACAGAAATGTCTCTTTTGATATAAGTAATTAAGTCTCCGAGCTGTCAGGGTATTGCCACTTGCTGAGCTGGAGAGTGCTCTTTGCATCATTGTGTAGGGCTGCCAATTAAACTTAAGGCTGCTCAGATTTCTGGCGCAGTAAAGGAGATCCTGGTACAATCCAAAGCTATAATCCTAAGCAAGCAAGTCTCATACCACCACTCCTTTTGTACCATCTCAGTAACAAGGTTGAGAGTGTGTGTGTGGTGAGGGGAGAAGAGAAAGCTAAAAGACTGAGATTTTAAATATCTACTTCCGCAACAAAAGTCTCATCTTAACTATAAGATCACAGTCCTAAAGATTAAGATTATGGAGAATTTTGGAAAATTCTTAAATTTGGTCTCGATTTGGAAACCTGTTTTCCCACAAGTGTTTGAAGAATTACTCCCAACAGTGTTGGCACCAGATCAGCCACAGGGTTCACTGAAAACAAAACTCAAAATGCACAATTGCAGTTCATTTAGGACTTGTGCGTCTGTCCACCACATGTCAGGCTGGCAAATCTGCACACTTCAGATTTGAAGACAAGTACCCAAGAAGCAGTTGTCAGATTTGGAATTTCACTCCAGCATTCTGCAGGACAATTTCAGCCCCAAGTGCATCTTTTGATGTGAGGAAGTTGTTCGTTCTGGAGAGGGCTCAAACCCATCGCCAATGTCTGGATGGCTGTTCACTGACAGAGGAATTGGCTCAATGTGCGCAAAAAAAATCTTGCTTACAAGGCAAAACAAAAATCTGCAGTGCAGAGGAATATACTTCAAATAGAAAAGATGAAATGAATGGAGTTTGGTGGGGGGGGGGGGGAGGAGAAAAGCTGAAGCTTAATACTGAAAAGGTTTTACAAAGCTGAAGAAGAAGCACACATCAACTGCAGAGTTTACAAGTTAATTGAAAGATATAATTATGTTCAGTGGTGGCGTGTGGACTTAAGCCATTTATTTATTTAATGCAAAAAGACAAATATTCCACCAGTAAATGATAACGGAACAACATACCAGAAAGAACTACATCACCGAGAGACAACACAACAGAAAAATAAAGAGGAGAATTGGGGATGAGCAATAGTTTGAATACTTTACAAGTACATTATTTTCTATATAAAATGATGTATGCAAGGTAGGTACAAGTCTGTTACATGCACTCAGCTGTAGGCATAGAGCTACACAACAGCCAAGCCATGGTTTCAATCATGTTGCTCATAAAAAACTCTTCTGAAATGAACAGCAAAACAATTTAACCAAAGGAAAATTAGACACAATGGAAGTTCCTGGACTCCAGTGGTTTTACCGCTAAGAAAACCTTTGAATCGCTCCTACACTACCTCATTTGAGATATTGAGTTTTAAACCATTAGTACCGTGTTTGTAACAAAAAAGTGATTTTATTTAAACTACCAAGATTTGACTGACTAAAACCATTTATTATGAGGAAATTCCTGAGAAAGATTTGTATTCAAGTCCAAATTGTATTCTTGCAACTGTTATTGCTATTGTCCTTTACAAACAGCACATCTACAGATAGCATTTGCAACAGATTTTAAATGTTATGACAGTTCACTAAAAGCACCGATGATGCATTGCTCGGCAATTGAGCAGTGTATGACTCACATGGTGGTTGGCAGTCTCACTAGGCACACAAGGAGTACTCAAGGGAATCTATCCACCTCTCCCATAAAGCATTTTATAAAAAGAGTTACCAATTAAAAAGCATGAGAATGAGACCTTGCAGTGTACAGATTCCAAAGTTTATAGAGTCACAAGATATTGCTTTGGTTACAGGAGGAAAATCAGAGGGACAGACTGGAGTATCAGCCATTTTACTGCACCAGTGACAGAAAAGTCAATAATCATTCATGTTTCAAGGCTGTTCGGTATACTGAAGTCATGAGCCATGTCACCATAACAGACTGAACTTGCGTGTGGCAATTGTGTCATATTATTTCTACAGTTGGTAACTTGGTATGAGATCTTACGTGAAATAGGGAGGAATCACATTTTCAGTTCAAAGTTAAGATTAAAAACTAATCAGAAAGCTCATCTGGTTCAAAGCTATGAGGAAGCTTACAATTGAGGATGGTTACCATTGTGGGTTCATTGCTAATGCTACAATCTCCCACACGATTATAGATTAATAAAAACTCATGGGCCGTCTGCGTTTACACTCTGAAGTGTAGTGTGAAAGCTGTTGACTGCAGTGAATTCCCTGTCTCAGCCATGGCATTTCAAAGAGCATGGTGACTGAAGCTAAAGTTTCATTTCCACAGGGTGCAGGAGAGGAAAGCAATTAAAAAAAGCAGAGAGGAGAAAGAGAAGAAACCACTCTGCTCCAAAATCTCAAATACATTGTTTTGCTTCAAATCCAGCAATGGCAGAAGCCTGGGAATAAGCGGTAAATTAAAATAACTGTCTTGTTTAGCTCTCCTTTCACTATTTTGAGGATTTACTAAATTTAGCAGCTACGAGATGAGCTGCGTTTGCAATTCATCTCTGGCAGTGAATTTCAGCTTGCAGCTGAATATCAATGAGAATATGAATGTTGGGGATGACGTTAGTCACAAATGTACAGCGTTAACACGCCAATCTGTGGGTGGTGAGAGCAGTTGTACGCTTGCAGAATTCAGATTTCAGGCTTGCCCTTCCTCAAAGCAAAACCCAGGAATTATATAAGGAATGTGATTTACCTTTTTCAAAAGTTTACATGGCTTAGATATTAACAACTGCAGCTATTAAATGGTTTTAGGAGGGTTCAGCTGACTATAATCCGATAGTGAACTGAGTGCACTCTCCGCTAAACAATTTAGTAGTGAATAGCTAATGTCACCATAGCTTCTTACAAGATGAAGGATAGAGTTCACCAAATGCTGAGGACACAACTTTCTCCAAAAAAAAATTGTTTTTCCCCTTGTAGCTGTGCATATTAAGGGAATTAGGCAGACTGCATTATTCAACTCATTAAAACAGAGATGAGGTTTGAATTTCCCTGCTGAAAATTAGCTCAGAATTCCAGTGAATTAACAATGAAGCAATGGAGCAAAACTAAAGCAAAAAACGAGTAAAGCATTTTCAACTAATAACTGAATGTCAATATTTACTTTAGAGTGCTGCAGAAAGTGTCAGATTTTAAAAGTTACCTATTATAAGCTATCACAAAAGTTATATGATCTGAGAGGTATTCTCAACCTGGAATAAAACTAACATTGCAATCACTAGCTTCATACTTCTCAAGAGGGTAGAGTTCTATTTCCTACTATAGCTTGCAATTCTAAAGCCACAATGGTGCAATGTGCCTGACTACAAAGCACAAGCTGAATGCTTTTGCAGGATTATGAAGTTTTAGTAAGCTTGGCACTGCCTCCCACCCCCCAAAAGCACATATGATAGCAAAGCTACAAGGAATCATAGCAACAATACTGGACCATCCAGGACCAATATCTCATTGGTAACAAGCTCCTGCAATAAGTGTGGGAAAATGTATTGCGTTTCAGGTCTTCCATGAGGAAACCAGCTTGGATATTTGTTCACTTTATGAACCATTAGCAGATCAATAGGTCGCCCAACCTCACTTCCTGTGTGCTGCAGATGTGTACAGCATGGAGGACGCGACACCAGAGGTTCTACTGTACCATAATTATAACACTCTGAAGTGCTGGAGAAGGGGAGGAAAAGAAAACTTCCTACTATGTAATTTTGAGGCAACTTAGTCAAATTGTACACAACCTGAAAATTGCTTAAAAAGGAAGTGAGAAAGTGTCTGGATACCGAACTTTAAGTGTAAGTATAAAATCCTTTTTTTTAAACAAATAATAGATGGTCACCGTAAATGATTAGATGTAGGCTCATACCTGCATCTCTTTCTCTCGATATTTTTGTGGATTTCTGCTCCCTTGACTCTTTCTTCGAAGTTTCTTCAGGTCTGCTTGGCATTTTTCCAACGACTCCAATCTAGCTTTGTGTTCTGCTTGATATTTTTTCAATGTAGCCTTCAGGAAATAGTGAACAAAAATATAAGATGCAATACTACTTTGATACGCCTCAACAATGGAGGGGGAGGAAGAGAAATTGGGTCTCCTTCCCACAGCTTCTCATCAGAAGCTTTAATTCATCTGCATTAAGGTTACTGCGTGATGTTAGCAATTTAAATACAAGTTGCAAATGGTAGTAGGGTAAAGAAAAAAATGCAACATCACCACATGCAGTCTGATGACTTTAATGAGCTCAGATGCTTACCCCCATCTAGATTTCAGCACACAGCTTGTCCACACCCACAGAACAGTTCCTGACGTGCTAAATCTCATATATCCATACATTATAATTATCCCTGGGAAACTAACTGGCACATCACCTTATCGGGTGAGCAACTGAAAAGTGTTTAATGACCCAATTCAAGAAACGATTGATGTTGTCTGCCCCAAATGCTTGTATTAGTTACTAGCTCCAAAAGACATCAACTGCAGAACCTCATTGTAATAGTTCACATGGGACGGCACATTAATTGCATACCAAAATACATAAACAGCAACACAAAATAACATACAGCAGAAAGTCTGAAGAGAAAGAATACCATAGCATTGATGTCAGTGAGAACTCCCTCTCTGGCAGCCAATTCAGAAGCCTTGAAGACAACTTTGACAGCACAATGCTCAAGGAACTAAGGCTAGATACTCTCCTTAGTCCTTCATAATTAATATGAAGAATTTAGGGTAGTGTTTAGAATAAATACTGTTGCATTATATAATACAATCCTGAGACTTACACTCAAGTACTTGGCGTCTAATTCAACCTTCTGCTCAAGTTGAGTCAGCAGCTCACCATGAAAGACTTTCAGCTGTAAGAAAGAAATGTCAACTGTAAGAATTTCAATAAGCCCCCCCCCACCCACCAATACACCCACACATGCACACTCACATCTACCCACCTACTGGAGAGACACTGATTGTACCCCAGAGCCCCAGATTATTCATACAATGAAGATGTTTCCCTCCTCCAGTGTTCAGCTCCATAAGCTATAATTTTACCACACGCGCATGAACACTTTTCCTCATTCCTATCAACCTAATTACTTTGATTTTTTCACTGAAATTAATGTAGGTTCATTACAATTAAAGCTCTCTCTTCCCTCCCCCATCCCACTTATGAATCACATGGCATATTTATTACAAAATGTTCAACAGTGCAAAGACCACTATTTAGATTTCAAATGCATTTGCAATAGTGCTTTATCATGTTGGAAGGACACCTCAAAGCACTTCAGAGAAATTACTGTGAAATTGAGTGAGCTTTTTATTTTTGTGAGCAACGCACAGCAGCCAGTTTGCACAGTGAGTGACCAATTCTATTTGGGGCATTGTTGACCAAGATACCGAGAGAAAGAAACTCCCTTCTTTTAGATGCCTCAAAGCTCACAGGAGCATACCCCTTTGCAGTGTAATGACTGTGCTTATAGGCAACGCAAGTGAGCATAGCATGTAGGTGAAAGTCAGTCAGTTACTGATTATTTGGTACTACAGTTTCCATTTCACAATGCCAACAGAATTTTTAATGGATAAACTCCTTGACAAAGATTTGTTCAATGGAAATCCAAGTGTGCACTCACATTACCTTAAAAGGAATACTCACCATTTCCTCCAGCTGAATCTGGATTTGCCTATGGACCTCTGCCATCTGGAACAAAACATCCCCTGCAAGATAACACACTGGAGCTAAAAGAACACTTCCAGGCTGCTTAGAATTGATGAATGCAGAATCCACACAAACACAAGCAAAAATGATTACAGTGGCTGTGGTACAAAAAGGTGCCATGGCAAGCAACACTAAACTGAATTCTAAACATTCAAACTAACACTTCAATTTGCATAGTCATCCCTCCTCTATCCATCTCCCCCACAGCCCCACATCCCAAACCGGCCCAGTTGCCTAGTAGTTTCTCTTTCCTTCCCCCACCCTCCCTTATTATTCAGAATAGTAGAAACAAATATTTGAAATAAAGTTTTAGAATCCTGACGTTCAACAAGCCTATTTTGTCTGAAACTACGATTGTGCAGAATTGTAGAAAATTCTTAGGACTAGTAGGTGGCATAGGTTAAATCCTTGTTGCTAGGCTTTCAGCCATGATTTGAATATTCATGGACTACAATCCAAACTAAACTGAACCAAAATTCCCAGAAAATGGCATTCCTAAATCGCAACAACTAGAAACCATACCAAACTAGGTATATAGAAGAGGGTTAGTTTTATGGCTTCTGTATTGCTAGAACCTCAGATGGGGTCATTTTAGTCAATATCATTTTGCTGTGATTAGTGTAGCTTCCGTCGTGTCTATAGCTATAGCACTGTTTGTAAATTACCAAAAACTATAAAGAGTAGTTATTGGCTCTATTGAAGTTCAACAAGTTTATCCAGTGATTAACTGAGACATGCAGAATGGGAAGGTCCCAGCTAGATCTTTTAATCTGAGCTGAATTAGTTGAGCTCAGAGAGAGTGACCTGATTGGTCTACATTTTGCCTTTGGTTTAAAGGAGGAGAAACCAGCTAGGGTTTCTGTTCCCCATTGCTGAACAGTGGCTCTTGCTCAAGAATGCAGGTAAATGGACTCTGGGTGAGGATACGATCAGACTCCCACATATGGCTACTTGGTTGAGGTGCTGGAGAGGGCTCAGCTCAGTGGGAGGGGAAGAAAAGGCAGTGAAACTTCCTCCAGGAAAGGGAACTTTTTATATAGATGTTAAAGTAGATTTTGACGTAAGCAAGAGAAAATTTAGGTTTGGTAAATTAGAATGGATATAATTAGATAAAAATCAGTTTGCTCTGGTTGCCAGGATGCACTTTGGTTTCCATGTAAAGTCTGCTCCACCCAAATGTCAAAATATCCTCAAGAAAACAAAGCTGTTATTCAATCCGACAATGTCCTCACACAGTACAAACCTATCTTTAGCACAGCACTTGAAACAAAGACATTTTGCAGATCATATAGGGAATCCCTCCGGCTGTGTAAATCAAATCAGTTCAAAAATATTTTATTTGCACAGCCAGAGCAGCTCAGTAATGTTGTCAATTAGGATGTAGTTTATGGACAAGTAGACTTGGAAAACATTTACAATCGGGCTTTGGGAAGTCCTCGCTGGGTCAGGTCACCAATACAAAGAATGCACACCACTGCAAAGATTTGGGAGGAGGGATAAACGGGGAAAGAGAAACTAGCTTGTGATGTTCAGCTGTTTTTCACAGCCCTACAAAGCCAGACTCAAGGACATTTCCATGCGTAGGTGGTGTGCATATACAGAGGAGGAGCTTTCTACTCTGAATATTATGTTTGATGATGGATTTCCACACTTCAGATATCCAGCTAACCAAAAAAAATATACACACACACACACACAAGGTGAAGGCTTTGGAAAAGATGTCCGTACTACAATGGAGATAACATTCTATGTAATTTTGTATACACAGAATAGAGCCAAGTACAAGGCAACATTGACCATCAATGGTATTAGAAAAGGCAGCAAATTGAAGTACTCACCCCATTCACTTGAAAGTTACTCTAAGGCTACATCACACAATCCATTATAACAGAAATGTAATAGATATGCCTAACCATACCAATTTAAGAATCTTGCAATAAGGCTCCGTGTATAAAAAAGGACCTATTCCCTTTTTCTTAAAAAAGCCATCATTGTAGTCTGGGGATTATAAACTGTGAGTGATCTGTTCTAACACCTATTTGGCACCATTATACCCTCAAAGTGGTGAAAAAGCACTTCAGGAACTTGATTTCTGCTTACCCACAGCAGTAAAATGCTCAACAAGAACTGAATCAGTGCCGTGTCAGGTTAACTTCTATTCGGTTCTCCCTGTTAAGTGTTACCACCATCACACAATGGTCAGCGGCTGAAAGGACAGATGGATGATTTCCTGATATCTCTGCCTGTCATTGTTTCCTTTGCACTTGATCTGTCACCAGATGGGGCAATTTAGCTCAAGTCTCCTCACTTACTTTTAATCTTCTTGATTGGCCTGCATCCATTCAGAGTGGGCCACAGGTCTCCCAATCTGCAGCAGAATGCACTTAACTGTCTCTACCCTGGCCTGAAATGTGCAAACGAGTATGACAGTTGAGTCATACAAAATAAGTAGCATTGCACAAATGGTGAATCATCTTGTACATGAATACCAAAGCTGCTTAAGGTTTGATCTAAAGTAATCAGGGCTAAATTCAAACATATTGCAACAGTCTTCATTAGTTCCCTTCTGAATGTAAGTCACTGTACACTTTGCCTCTCTACTATTAATACGCACCTACAAACCCTTCCATGGCCTCGCCCCACCCAACCTCTGCGACCTCCTAACTCCTACCAACTCGCCCGCTCCCTCCGCTCAGCCAGCTCTGGCCTGCTGCACATCCCCCGCCCCACCTTCAGCCACTATGCCCCGAACCTCCGGAATTCCATCCCAATCACTCTGCCTCGTCCCCTCCTTAGCCTCCTTCAAGTCCCGCCTCAAGACCCTCCTCTTCGACCATGCCATCAGCCACCCCGCTTCCCCTCCCGTCAGTCTTCTACATTTAGTAGTTTGCTTACAATCCTTATTTTGACAGTTTTTGCAGTTGCCTTTAATTCCCAATGAAAATCAGTACAGAATACTGCAAACATCACGCCACCTGTACCCTTCAAATTACAAGGCTTCACGTCTTATTCTTGTGAAGGGTGGAAAAACCCTATAAAAATAATTGCTTCTGGATATTAATGGTCCATTTATTTACTTGATAGATGATATGTAGCTTACAAAAAGTGGAAGACGTCCTTTCCTTGTTGAGGCAATTTTCTTTATTCTATTGAAAAACTGAAAGGTGCTAGCAGATGATTCTAATTAAATTTTCTGGACAACGGGCGAAGGAAGGCAACTTTATGCAGTGGGTATAATCATCTGGTCCCCACCTTCGTGTCAACACAATTCTGGAAAATTACTCACATGACCTCACACATTTTATTTAAATTGCAGTACATTCATTTCAATGGGAGACAGTTCATTCATTTTCAATGCCAATGTAATAAGCCAAAGCATTTCAAACCTCATCATTAGCAGATGCCCACACACATCAGGCACCTGGTTAGATGTGACACGCAGCGGCGAGACACTAGATTTGCCTCATTTTCACCGATCCCAATGAGTCAGCAGAGTACAGAAATGTATGTCTCCACTCCTCTTTGTAACACTACGAAGTGTAATCGAAGGAAGACTGCTGGGAATTAGTCTACACAAGCCTCCCTTATGCTCTGAGAAGTCTCATTGCCATTGGTAACAACAACAAACACACACTACCATTACCCAAGATACCAAAGCACATCAAGTAAGAGGTGAGAGTGAGAATCATGGAGCAGGAAGGAAACTTTTCTCCATTAATCAAATTCCAGGGTTAGAAACACTGTCAACTTCTAATGGAAATTTATACATTGCAAGTAGAGTACTGTACATATATATATATCTCCATTAGATGTCAACAGTATCGGGTATTGTAATGGGAGGCTGCATTTGAAATTTTGATTAAAATTTCATTGGTGAAAAGGAGTTGTCTAAAGTTAAAATAAATTAGCTTGAGCAGTGTACGGCATTTCACACAATAGTTAATTCTCCATTTTGTTTAAGCATCGCATTGCTTAAAAAAGCACCATGCCACGATTCACTGCTCATCTGTCAAGCCTCATTTTCAGGTCAATTAAGAATAATAGGCACAGATTCCTGCCAAAAACAGATGCATCTGAATGGCGCCAAGCATCAACTGGTTTGCTGAAATGTAGAAATACCTTTCTAGAGACGAGTAAATCTTTGATTAAGTACAAGTCTGAAACTTCTCAAAGAAGTTATATGCAGAGAAGCTACATTCTAGATCAAAACTTTCAGAGAACTAGAACTTTGACAGACTGGAATATCCACTCCACATAAAAACTATTGGAAGGCTAACATTTTTAAGACAACCACAAGTGAAAGGAATTTATTATAGTAGGCCAAATGCAAGATAGGCATCTTTGATATCTTAGATAACGATTGTTTGTTTGAGACAAGTTTCACAGGATTGAAGAACTGCCTGAAATTTGTTGAGGCCAATGGAGTCAGATCTGAAAAGTCACAATTTGCATTCCTAGTCCTCACTGATTTAGCAGATGCAGCTAAGAAACAGGAGTGGTACACGGGCCTCACTGCCCACGGGTTTGGGAGTGTAAAGACAAGCCAGAGCTAGATTGGCATGCATTAACCCCTGCTGTAAAGTATTGAGTGAAAACAGAATGGTCTGCAACATGCTCTATACCCATCCTACGGTCAAATAACCTTTCAGCAGTCAATCTCTTAGGGTATGGGCCCAACATATAGATAAGATTACAACCTACACCAACCTATCACCTACACCCTATGATTATGTACAAGAAGAACAGTGTACAGAATGTTTTACAATTTTAAACAGTCAATGGCAAGGACTGAAAATTCAGTACTGTTAGAGGTAACAAAACCAATAAGCATGGGCTTGTGTTGGTCTTTTCCTATGCTACTGCTTACACCTGTCCATTCATTAAAAGTGATGATAGTCTTTTGTGAAGTACCAACTCTCTGGGCAGTGGAATTTGTAAGCAGTCACAGAAAAAGTGTAATAGCTAATTATCAGAATTTTGAACAATGCTTAAACCAAGG